CTTTTTGTGTGAGCGATCCTTGGCCCGCGTTTCTAGAAACGCCCTTTCCTAAATCGGCCTACAGTGAACCAGTATAGAACGTCAAGCTTTCTCCTGTGCGATGCGCACTTTTTGTGTGAGCGATCCTTGGCCCGCGTTTCTAGAAACGCCCTTTCCTAAATCGGCCTACAGTGAACCAGTATAGAACGTCAAGCTTTCTCCTGTGCGATGCGCACTTTTTGTGTGAGCGATCCTTGGCCCGCGTTTCTAGAAACGCCCTTTCCTAAATCGGCCTACAGTGAACCAGTATAGAACGTCAAGCTTTCTCCTGTGCGATGCGCACTTTTTGTGTGAGCGATCCTTGGCCCGCGTTTCTAGAAACGCCCTTTCCTAAATCGGCCTACAGTGAACCAGTATAGAACGTCAAGCTTTCTCCTGTGCGATGCGCACTTTTTGTGTGAGCGATCCTTGGCCCGCGTTTCTAGAAACGCCCTTTCCTAAATCGGCCTACAGTGAACCAGTATAGAACGTCAAGCTTTCTCCTGTGCGATGCGCACTTTTTGTGTGAGCGATCCTTGGCCCGCGTTTCTAGAAACGCCCTTTCCTAAATCGGCCTACAGTGAACCAGTATAGAACGTCAAGCTTTCTCCTGTGCGATGCGCACTTTTTGTGTGAGCGATCCTTGGCCCGCGTTTCTAGAAACGCCCTTTCCTAAATCGGCCTACAGTGAACCAGTATAGAACGTCAAGCTTTCTCCTGTGCGATGCGCACTTTTTGTGTGAGCGATCCTTGGCCCGCGTTTCTAGAAACGCCCTTTCCTAAATCGGCCTACAGTGAACCAGTATAGAACGTCAAGCTTTCTCCTGTGCGATGCGCACTTTTTGTGTGAGCGATCCTTGGCCCGCGTTTCTAGAAACGCCCTTTCCTAAATCGGCCTACAGTGAACCAGTATAGAACGTCAAGCTTTCTCCTGTGCGATGCGCACTTTTTGTGTGAGCGATCCTTGGCCCGCGTTTCTAGAAACGCCCTTTCCTAAATCGGCCTACAGTGAACCAGTATAGAACGTCAAGCTTTCTCCTGTGCGATGCGCACTTTTTGTGTGAGCGATCCTTGGCCCGCGTTTCTAGAAACGCCCTTTCCTAAATCGGCCTACAGTGAACCAGTATAGAACGTCAAGCTTTCTCCTGTGCGATGCGCACTTTTTGTGTGAGCGATCCTTGGCCCGCGTTTCTAGAAACGCCCTTTCCTAAATCGGCCTACAGTGAACCAGTATAGAACGTCAAGCTTTCTCCTGTGCGATGCGCACTTTTTGTGTGAGCGATCCTTGGCCCGCGTTTCTAGAAACGCCCTTTCCTAAATCGGCCTACAGTGAACCAGTATAGAACGTCAAGCTTTCTCCTGTGCGATGCGCACTTTTTGTGTGAGCGATCCTTGGCCCGCGTTTCTAGAAACGCCCTTTCCTAAATCGGCCTACAGTGAACCAGTATAGAACGTCAAGCTTTCTCCTGTGCGATGCGCACTTTTTGTGTGAGCGATCCTTGGCCCGCGTTTCTAGAAACGCCCTTTCCTAAATCGGCCTACAGTGAACCAGTATAGAACGTCAAGCTTTCTCCTGTGCGATGCGCACTTTTTGTGTGAGCGATCCTTGGCCCGCGTTTCTAGAAACGCCCTTTCCTAAATCGGCCTACAGTGAACCAGTATAGAACGTCAAGCTTTCTCCTGTGCGATGCGCACTTTTTGTGTGAGCGATCCTTGGCCCGCGTTTCTAGAAACGCCCTTTCCTAAATCGGCCTACAGTGAACCAGTATAGAACGTCAAGCTTTCTCCTGTGCGATGCGCACTTTTTGTGTGAGCGATCCTTGGCCCGCGTTTCTAGAAACGCCCTTTCCTAAATCGGCCTACAGTGAACCAGTATAGAACGTCAAGCTTTCTCCTGTGCGATGCGCACTTTTTGTGTGAGCGATCCTTGGCCCGCGTTTCTAGAAACGCCCTTTCCTAAATCGGCCTACAGTGAACCAGTATAGAACGTCAAGCTTTCTCCTGTGCGATGCGCACTTTTTGTGTGAGCGATCCTTGGCCCGCGTTTCTAGAAACGCCCTTTCCTAAATCGGCCTACAGTGAACCAGTATAGAACGTCAAGCTTTCTCCTGTGCGATGCGCACTTTTTGTGTGAGCGATCCTTGGCCCGCGTTTCTAGAAACGCCCTTTCCTAAATCGGCCTACAGTGAACCAGTATAGAACGTCAAGCTTTCTCCTGTGCGATGCGCACTTTTTGTGTGAGCGATCCTTGGCCCGCGTTTCTAGAAACGCCCTTTCCTAAATCGGCCTACAGTGAACCAGTATAGAACGTCAAGCTTTCTCCTGTGCGATGCGCACTTTTTGTGTGAGCGATCCTTGGCCCGCGTTTCTAGAAACGCCCTTTCCTAAATCGGCCTACAGTGAACCAGTATAGAACGTCAAGCTTTCTCCTGTGCGATGCGCACTTTTTGTGTGAGCGATCCTTGGCCCGCGTTTCTAGAAACGCCCTTTCCTAAATCGGCCTACAGTGAACCAGTATAGAACGTCAAGCTTTCTCCTGTGCGATGCGCACTTTTTGTGTGAGCGATCCTTGGCCCGCGTTTCTAGAAACGCCCTTTCCTAAATCGGCCTACAGTGAACCAGTATAGAACGTCAAGCTTTCTCCTGTGCGATGCGCACTTTTTGTGTGAGCGATCCTTGGCCCGCGTTTCTAGAAACGCCCTTTCCTAAATCGGCCTACAGTGAACCAGTATAGAACGTCAAGCTTTCTCCTGTGCGATGCGCACTTTTTGTGTGAGCGATCCTTGGCCCGCGTTTCTAGAAACGCCCTTTCCTAAATCGGCCTACAGTGAACCAGTATAGAACGTCAAGCTTTCTCCTGTGCGATGCGCACTTTTTGTGTGAGCGATCCTTGGCCCGCGTTTCTAGAAACGCCCTTTCCTAAATCGGCCTACAGTGAACCAGTATAGAACGTCAAGCTTTCTCCTGTGCGATGCGCACTTTTTGTGTGAGCGATCCTTGGCCCGCGTTTCTAGAAACGCCCTTTCCTAAATCGGCCTACAGTGAACCAGTATAGAACGTCAAGCTTTCTCCTGTGCGATGCGCACTTTTTGTGTGAGCGATCCTTGGCCCGCGTTTCTAGAAACGCCCTTTCCTAAATCGGCCTACAGTGAACCAGTATAGAACGTCAAGCTTTCTCCTGTGCGATGCGCACTTTTTGTGTGAGCGATCCTTGGCCCGCGTTTCTAGAAACGCCCTTTCCTAAATCGGCCTACAGTGAACCAGTATAGAACGTCAAGCTTTCTCCTGTGCGATGCGCACTTTTTGTGTGAGCGATCCTTGGCCCGCGTTTCTAGAAACGCCCTTTCCTAAATCGGCCTACAGTGAACCAGTATAGAACGTCAAGCTTTCTCCTGTGCGATGCGCACTTTTTGTGTGAGCGATCCTTGGCCCGCGTTTCTAGAAACGCCCTTTCCTAAATCGGCCTACAGTGAACCAGTATAGAACGTCAAGCTTTCTCCTGTGCGATGCGCACTTTTTGTGTGAGCGATCCTTGGCCCGCGTTTCTAGAAACGCCCTTTCCTAAATCGGCCTACAGTGAACCAGTATAGAACGTCAAGCTTTCTCCTGTGCGATGCGCACTTTTTGTGTGAGCGATCCTTGGCCCGCGTTTCTAGAAACGCCCTTTCCTAAATCGGCCTACAGTGAACCAGTATAGAACGTCAAGCTTTCTCCTGTGCGATGCGCACTTTTTGTGTGAGCGATCCTTGGCCCGCGTTTCTAGAAACGCCCTTTCCTAAATCGGCCTACAGTGAACCAGTATAGAACGTCAAGCTTTCTCCTGTGCGATGCGCACTTTTTGTGTGAGCGATCCTTGGCCCGCGTTTCTAGAAACGCCCTTTCCTAAATCGGCCTACAGTGAACCAGTATAGAACGTCAAGCTTTCTCCTGTGCGATGCGCACTTTTTGTGTGAGCGATCCTTGGCCCGCGTTTCTAGAAACGCCCTTTCCTAAATCGGCCTACAGTGAACCAGTATAGAACGTCAAGCTTTCTCCTGTGCGATGCGCACTTTTTGTGTGAGCGATCCTTGGCCCGCGTTTCTAGAAACGCCCTTTCCTAAATCGGCCTACAGTGAACCAGTATAGAACGTCAAGCTTTCTCCTGTGCGATGCGCACTTTTTGTGTGAGCGATCCTTGGCCCGCGTTTCTAGAAACGCCCTTTCCTAAATCGGCCTACAGTGAACCAGTATAGAACGTCAAGCTTTCTCCTGTGCGATGCGCACTTTTTGTGTGAGCGATCCTTGGCCCGCGTTTCTAGAAACGCCCTTTCCTAAATCGGCCTACAGTGAACCAGTATAGAACGTCAAGCTTTCTCCTGTGCGATGCGCACTTTTTGTGTGAGCGATCCTTGGCCCGCGTTTCTAGAAACGCCCTTTCCTAAATCGGCCTACAGTGAACCAGTATAGAACGTCAAGCTTTCTCCTGTGCGATGCGCACTTTTTGTGTGAGCGATCCTTGGCCCGCGTTTCAAGAAACGCCCTGTAGAAAACTGCGAAAACGCCCTGACACGGATGCGGCCGTAGCGCATCGGATCGAGATTTGACTATTTTCATTGGTAGCAGATTGGTAGAAGAGGAAGGAGTAGGAAGACAGGCTGCGTGCGAATGGTCCTTTCTCGATTCGATGCGCGATGATCGCATTCATGGAAACGCGGGCAGTGTACGTTTGGAGTCGGAGGTATAGGAAAGGAAAGACCGATTGAACTCCTGGAACAAGCAATAATAAAGAGGAATTAGGGAACATTGCAGGACGCGGACCAGATGATTGAGATAGAACATTTTAAATCTGACACGGTAGCGGAATGAAAAAGACAAGCACAAAAGCAATTTAGAATGTTGCGACTGTAGGCACTTTTTTTTATGTAACAGTGCTTGTTGGGTGGCTACCTTCAGGTTCAAAAACGATCACTTCCGTTTATTTTTATCTCTCGGATACCTCGCAGATCACACCGGATGAAATTCGAGCCTACGAAGAGGAGTACACGAAACAGCTAAGGAGGTTGACTGCCTTCCAGCAGATGCGCATAGCCTTTGCCGCCTGCGTCGAAGCATTGGTGCTCCTCGACAGGCTAGTCTACCTCCTGGAACAGGTAAGCGTAAAAGCCACCGCTTGTCGCGTAAAAAAAAAAAAAAAAAAAAAAAAAAAAAAAGGCGAAAGAAAAATGGAATATACGGAGTCTTCAAGTGTTCCACTCCTACCCGATAGATGGCGCCAATATGTTCTCTTGTCTCGTCTTGAGAGGTCACAAGCCTCGTACATATAACTCTCTTTCTTCCTCTCTATATCTTTCTCTTTGTCCTCTTTGGTCCCGTTTCCTCGCCACTCCACCGTCTCAGATGACTACAGTCAAGCGAACGGCGGCTCATTTCATTTTTATGCCAATAAAACATTGGAACAACAGAAGTCACTAGAGGTTTTAGAGCAGGCGGTCGTAAGCAGCCGCAGGTGTGTGAACGTAGAGTGCGGCGACAGCCGAGGGAGGCGCTGCACACAGTCTGCTGCAGACAAGTCCTAAACTCAATCACACTGCGCTGTGCACACTATACCATGACGTCATGCGGTGTCGCACTGACACTTGACGCCATCTTGTCTCATGAAGTCATGACGTCACGTGAAGAAATGGTATTACGTGCCGCGACACGATGAGCGTTATGGTGTCACGTGACACCGTGGTGTTTGGCGGGAAATGTTTTTTCGCCAAATTTAGCATTGAAAATGTACGGTGAATTGAGCGGGAAAAGTTTACCGCTGCACTTGGCGGGAAGATTTTCCCGCTAAGTTTGACGAGGAAACCGCTGCGAAGCCTCGCCAATGACGGCTGTTGCCGTAAAATACTTGTTTTTTTTTTTTACTTCATTTTGCTTTCTTTCTCTGTTTTAGGAAGCTGTTGCAGACGCCCACATCGTCCGACTCTTTGATCCAGTGACGTCACCAAGATGTTACGCACTTTGCGCCGTCAAGAAAACTGCGCGCGAAAAGTGTTGATGTGTAGTTTACCTTTAGTACCCATGCGCCAGAACTTCTTTTGTTTTTACAAACCTCGAAAACTTCGGACATTCTATGCACGAACTAATCTCTACGACATCACGCGGTGCTGTCCGCTAGCTCAAGTGGGCTAGCGCATATGCGTCACTCATATATATATATATATATATATAAATATAAAAAAGTTTTTGCACATGCGCGGTTTGGAAGGAATGAGCTCGTGGCGTGAACTCTGTTCCTCCCCAGAGGTGGATCAAGATAGAGGCCGCGAGCGGTTCCGTCCAATCCGGTACCAGGTGAGCGACCACGTGACCTTAGACTTAGCGTATCGCTGCGTCCGATCGCGAGGTCACGTGGCGGGCTCGCGTCGTATCATTGATTCGCGTGACTCGTAGCCTTTTGTTTGGTCCGCCCTTGATCTAAACAGAGTGTATAAGGATTCCCAGTGACGTATCTCTGCCATTATGGTACCTCAGTGGGCTCAAAACCCGCGCTTGCAGCTGCAGAGGCATCTGGCTTCGCATACAATTCGAAGCATCGTCAGTGGTATATCGCGTTGGCGATAAAGATTGGCATCCATCGACCATCTATGAGACTTTTATATTGTCGATGCGCACATGTGGGAACTGTGCGTGAAAACCGTTCTTTACCTGCCATCTTTCGTAATGGGTACACGTAAATACGGAGGCGTGAAAAGAAAAAAAAAAGTGCACGCGCGCTTTGTTTAATACATTCCTGTGTAAAAGTACAACGAACAGCGCACCAGATTTCCGTTTTAACGAGATAACCATATGGGAAAAATCGGAGAACGTGGCTGAATAGGTAAAATAAAATCGGCTCTGTTTCTGTGGCGAAGTAAACATTTCAAAGACCTATGAAAGAAAACTAAACAAAAATCTCTCTGCCGCTTTTTTTAAATTTTTTTAAGGCCGGCGTACTTTTGTTTTAGTAGTTGCATGTTAAATTAACCCAAGTTAGCAGATGTATCGCCCTAACTCAATAGACGTGTTGCAAAACGTGCACGCCAGCTGCGGCACCGAAAGGTGTGCCGGGAACGGTCTGTAGAAAACTGGTTGTAGCAGACGACGGGGGAATCGCAGGCGAGCAATGAGCCTTTCCCGGAGTTTCCACGGCGCATGCGCAGCAGCAACAGACAGGAGTCCGCCATTTTTGATGGCGTGGTGCGTCCGGCTCGGGGCTGCGGGAGGCAGCGGTGGTCACGCGTTTCGAACTTCTCCGACATGCCCCAACGCAGTTCCGTTGTCGGCATGCAGCAACGAGGGCAAGCGCGTTGTCGCGATTTAGGTTTCCTTTTACTAGCCGGAACCCGACGAAACGGCAGCTGTGGATTCGGGCGATCCTGCGAAACAATGTGGACGCTTTCTAAACGCTGCCTTTAAAGCGCTCCCGTGTTTGTTCCCACTTCAAGAGATGTTCATGTTTTTGTTTCTTTATTTGGCATCGGTGTCGAAATACAAGTCGGCAGATTCATTAGGTATGCTGTTGTGTCGCTTATATGCCACGCAGAGCGAGCGCCTCGGAGTTGGCGTTTTTGTGATGGTGCGTTTGACTGGCGCACGTTTTTGCTTGTCAAAGTGACGGTCTCGCGTTGCTACGCAGACTGCCTGTCTGCTTTTTGGTTGTTGTAAACATTGGAATAGCCCACAGTTTCCATATATTTATAAAGCATTGAGGTAAAGTGGTTTTACTGTACAGTTTGTTGCAATGTGCACACCCGGAAGGGGAAATGGGACCTCGACCGCATCTGCTGGTCTTGGGGTTAAATACGAAAGGGGAAACAATCGACTTGATAAGTTGTCTTCATGTATGTATCGAATAAAGTAATTAGTTTTGCAACATTGTCTACAGGCTCGAGACTCAAAACAAACAAAAGTAACCGATTTCGTGTTTTCTGTTTTTTTTTTTTTTTTTTTTTTTTTTCCCAAGACTTGCAGTTAGTCACGGCTGTAGCCTGAAGTGGGGTGACGTCAGTGCCGAGGCTCGCTCAGAAATCGGCGGCTGCGCGTATACTTTTTAGATGTTTCTTCAAGATGTATTCTAGTGGTGAATTTCACCTTTCGAAATTTCAAAGTGTTACTCTCTTCCTGTAAGAAACGAGACCAACAAACTTACCAGGGTCAGCGGCGCTCGCAAACGACTTAGTATAGTCCCGAACACGTCCGCCGTTAACCCGGGCATGTTTGTTGGTCTTATTTTTCACAAGAATAGAGCTAAGGTTTGCAATTTCACAGGGTGAAATCCACCACTAAAATACATCTTTGATGAAAATTTGACATTTGTATACGTGCATACGCCGATTTGTTCGGACGATTTTAGATTGAGCCTTCACATTTATGGGTATGCACCTTTTCAATTAAAATTTTCGAGCAGCTTAAACAAATAACTCGCAGTTAAAAAAAAAAAAATAAAAAAGCTTGGCTGAACTGTAACTTGGTCTCGAACATTTTCTGAATTTACTGCCGGTACTGCATATGACATGAATCCTAGTTTGATGTAACCGTTTGTACTTTCTCATTAGTCAAACACGACTTCAGCTGTGTCGTCAGACAACGGGCGCCACGGCGAAGTCCGTCGTCTATTCGAAAAAAATGTACAAACGGACGAAGTCGTCCTTTGTCAGCGCATTCCTTGCAAAGAAATGTACTGGTCGATCCCGTTGGATAGAGTGAAAATAACGGCTGAGCGCCTTTACCGAGCTTGGAGCAGGCAGAACCGGAAGTAGGGCAGGCCATCAAAAACGTTTCTCCTGCTTGCCGATAGATGGCGCCCAACTTTTGCGTAGAGTAGAGTTCCTGTATATGCTACTCCCGTAGGGAGCCTATATAGCAACTCTAGCGTAGAGCGGAGAGGGCTCATTGTGTTACCCTCTTTATCGCTCGCCTTTGATGTCGCAAACACATGTACGACGAAACCGTCCGATCTGACGTGCGGACTGCCGGAATGACCTTGGGGGGAGAGGGTTTTCGTAGCATCGGAGAGCGTTGAAAACCCTCTCCTCCGACCGTCGTATTGCGCGGTCGGACGTCGGATCGGACGGTTTCGTCGTACATGTGTTTCGCGCCTAATATATGTGCATGAGTAAGACAGGAGTTCGCGCGTGGCCTTTTCGGATTTTTGCAAAAGGTATATGGTCTCTCACAGAGGACATACAAAATCACCCTTTTTCGATACACACCTGACTTCCGGTTGTACTAACAAAAATGCATACAATAAATCTGACTGCAACAATTGAGGCGTGGAGTTGGGCTGTTTTATCTTGTTTTGTTTAACTCTTCCCCGGCTTTTGCTGTTTCGTACAGGAGTAAAATAGTCACTTGGCAGTCGGCGCTGTGTTTGTGTGCTCCTTCCTCTAATCCTCCGTTTTATCGAGCTTTCTTTTTTTTAACTTAAAATTTGATTGTACGGTTTTTTTCACTAACTACGAGCCAATAGACCATTTTTAAAAGTTGCGATCTGATCCTCGAGAGGTCAGTCTATTCGCAAATCCAGTGAAGGCGTCGCAAATCCAGAGAAGGCGACGCCACCTAGCGGAAAAGACGCGAACGAGAGAAGCGAGGAGCTACCGCCTCTATGCTAGTGGGCAGCAAAAACTGACGCGCCCTGGCGGCCAAAAAGGGAACAGAGGAAAGGAGTTAAATCTGCACGCTGTCGGGGTTGCCCATACTCTATAATGGCGGAGGGGTCGACACCAATGAACCTGAAAATTAGGACACACATGGCAGGCGGTATTCCTTATGTCGACCATTAAAATCGGCGTCCCAGAGCTTCAAAACGGCAAACTTGGTAGATTACGTGCCAACCCAACGAAGGCCATCTGGCACGCTCCAGCGGAATAACCGAAATTTCGCGGTTACACGGCGTTTTCTCTGCAATAGTCTCCTTCAGGTTGCAGGCGCCACGGCCGGGATTCGAACCCGCCAACCGAGGATTCTAGTCCGGCTCTTTGCCTCGGACTCATCGAGGCGGTTGGGCTGACTCTTGAAAATTCCTGAATGCTCCGAACCTTCTTACAGCCTCCTTACAGTAAGTAGTTTATAAAAGTAAGGCTAATAGCTGGTCAGTGTAATGATGCCACTTTTTCTTTTTTCGTATTCGTTTACGTATTTTTGGTTCGCTTCGTAAAAAAAAAGAAAAAAAAAGTCAAGTATCTAAACTAAAAAAATAAATAAATAAGGTCTCATTAATTTTTGTTGTTGCTACTGAGCGAGCGAAGGACCGCCTAAAATGCAGACGTCGAAAGCAGCTGTTTCGTTTCGCAGACGCAGAAAAGAAAGGAAAGCGGATTTGGAAAGGAGCAGAAGAGAGAGGGGGACCTCGTTGCCTAGCGACCGCGGGTCTGTTTACAAATGGAGGCGGACACGCTGGAACGGCGTCGCCAGCGGGACGCGAATTCTGGGATTCCATGATTCGATGGCAGGCGGCAAACTTCTCGCAGTAACTTCAAGCTGAACGACTGTGGCGGTGAGGGGATTTTGGCCGCCATTAAGGCCGCTCTCCGATGGCCCCCCTAGACTGGGATTTGGTGCTGAGTGTGCCCCTCCGAGACGATGAAGACGACGAAACGGCCCAGCTCTACGACGATCTCTACGATCAGCTGATCAAGGCAAGTTTGAAGTAACGGTTACCATGGGTGAAAGTTTTGTTTTAAATAAGTTTACCCGAAGTCGAGACCAATATATGGTCATTAGATTAGAATAATTGGATACTCTGTCCGAATTCTGGCCGACGGATAGCTCCGAAATCGCCGTTTGAATCATTCGGACGCACGAGCTCCCGTGATTACACACTGTTTACGATGACCTCACTACGGGGAGGCGCTCTCGGAGTTAAAAATGCATTGGTTGGGTCAGCGTGGCTGAGAGGTACAACTCGTATTCAGTCAAGGTTCATTGAGTTGCCTCACGCCTCAAATTGTAGCCGTTTTTACACTTATCAACGCGCTCACCTCAAGAAAGTAAGAAGAAATAAATGTATGTATTGTTGCTTAGAAGGGGGAGTGAGCTAACATGGGTGATGGCTGATAAGGGATCTGAGCTTCCAAATTTATTTATATAACCAAAACAAATACGATTTGTGTGTGTTGTTGTATTAAAAAAAAATCCACTTCAAGAGAAACACCGAAAAATGGCAAGAACACTGATGCAAGACAAAACATAGAAATGTATCTTGGTAGAAGAGAAAGAAGTCTTCTAATTGTTTACGCAGTTTAGATTTAGGTTTTTGTAGTTCAGGCTGAGTAAACGGTTCTTTCAGCCAGACGCTGCTTTGCTAGATTACCACAACTACAAAAGTACAAATGATGAAAAGGTGATGTCGTAAGAGATTTCTGGTCAACCTCAGTCCGTTTCGCAGGCATACAAAAAAGCAATCTTGCATTTAGCCACGCGCACTAAAAAGTTAAAACACCGCTAGAAAGGCCTTTTTTTTTTTGGGGGGGGGGGGGGGGGGGGATTGGGGCTAACACCAATGGAGGGTGCTACTGGAACACTCTTAGGCTAAGGTTCTAGCAGCACAGTGTAGGTGGCAGGCTCGACCGCAATGATATCACACAAACAATTAATTCTAGGTACATTGGTGACTTCCCTGTGCCACGCTCCATACATGTGGATACGGTTTACAGTTTTCAGATGCACATAACCATAAAAATACCGACATCACAATGCACTGAGCCCACGCGACACTGATATCAGAATCCTATTCGCATATCATTTCAGAAGCATTTTATGTACAGGGTGCGTCCGTAAAGACCAACACATTTGACACACCGTGCAAAATTCCAATTCCAAATGTACATACCTAAAATCGGGCACTAGAACGTAGTTTCGCAAAACGTCTTATGCCTACTCTTTTTTTCTTTTTTCAGAGTTTAACTCGGAGGTAGTGAACATTTTAAACTAAAGCAAAATCAGAGGCCATGCATTTTTTATGTCCTATACCAGTCCGTTTGTCGTCTGCACACTGGTTTATGAGCTTGCTGCCGGGTGGTTTTCTGAACGCGAAAACGCAAAGAACTAATAGTAGAGCCTGGCGATCATCAAGATAATTGCGATATTTAATACTATTCATGAAATATATGAACAGTGACCACCTGGGAGCGAGATCACAAACCAGTGTGCAGATGGCCAACATCCGGTATGGGGCATAGGAAATGGGGCGGCGGAGAAAAGCTCACCGGAGAAAAGCTCACCGGAGAAAAGCTCACCGGAGTAAAGCTCACCGGAGAAAAGCTCACCGCAAAACCGGCAGATGCGGAGAAAAGCTCACCGGCCTTTGAGCGGATGTAAAAACAAGCTCACCGATTTTTTTTTTTTTTTTTTAGTTTTTCTTAGCTTAACGGATTCTGCGTCACCCGTGGCAATTTAACACAATTCAAATTCGTCACTTCATTAAAATATTTGCTCTTTTTTGTAATATTCTTGAAGGTCATTGGCCATATTTACTAATTTCTCAGAAATTAGTAATCACCTATTTTTTATATAAATGATGCCGCAACTATAAAATCAGAACATCGGACACCGGTAAGAAAAACAACAATTTATTCACAGCTGACAGTGCGCCGTCGGTAGCTGTCAGATAAAGAAGTTTGTTCGTTGGGAGCTAATATGAATAGCGGTGTGTAAACCGCTTCAGCTCCAAACATTGTATAGTGCCTGATAGATAGCATGTGTTCGTTGATGTACTCAGCGTCGGCTACGCTGTTTTCTTTATGTTACTTTCACTAACAAAACTTAAGTTGCGAGAACAGCTTCATCCCGTCTTGTTTGTTGTCTTCACTCCGTCCTCGCCGTTTGAGCAGTTTTCATCATGCATAACGTTTACCAACTCGTCCACTTCGCCACCTTACAGAACACTACTTCGTATATAGGTCGCAGGTAACAACAATGACAGTGTGCAGCTCTGAAGGTCATGAGTGGCTCACCGTAGAAGGGCACTATCACACAAAGGGAACGTGTCGAAACACCAGCACGAACGGCAAGAAAACGTGCACGTCCGTGGAAGAAAGAAACCTCGATATCCTAATGACTGTTTTATCCTGTTTTCAATGGTTAACAAACGCTTCAAAGAGAATTTCAGGCACCGCGTTGTTGCGCATTCACTTTCAAATTTTCGGCAATTACAGTTTTGATTTGTAGGTTTTAGGCTGAATTATAAAGTTTTCTAACTTCTTCCTGTTCTTCAAGTTCATAAAGTTTTCAGTTAGGCTTTCGTTGCCTAGAGAGTAAACCGCAGAAAACACTCGCCCGCAATCATAAATTTGGGAGCAATATACCCGATAATCTTAACAAATATTAAAAAAAACCAAATTCCCTTTTTTACAAAGTTGACAAATTTTAATGATAATAAAGTGATAAATGTAACGCATGATCCAACAGACTCTATATAAAAAGAAGAAAAAATATCGGGGAGCTTTTCTTTGCATACGCTCAATGGCCGGTGAGCTTTTCTCCGCATCTGCCGGTTTAGCGGTGAGCTTTTCTCCGGTGAGCTTATCTCCGGTGAGCTTTTCTCCGGTGAGCTTTTCTCCGGTGAGCTTTTCTCCGGGATTCAGGAAATGCGCCGACGCCGTTTTCGTTCTATTTTTAATATTTTACCACCTGTGACTTGAGTTCTAAAAAAACAAAATATAGACATGAAACTTCTTGCGAAACTACGCTCGTGTGCCCAGTTTTAGGTATGTGCGTTTGGAATTCGAATTTTGCAAGGCGTGCCAAATTCGTTGGGACTTATGGCCGCACCCTGTACGTGACATTGAAAATTATGGCACCATAATCGTACACGTGTGATTCCCAACTTAAATCCATCTAAACTAAGCCAGACTTCTACAGGAACATAATATTTGGTTGTAAATCGGGATCATCTAGAAGAAAGAATCAACTTAACGTATGAAAGGCGGATGTTCTTTTATGAAAACGATTATTGTGCTTGAAGATAAAAAAAAGAAAAAAAGAATCCGCTAAACGAAATTACGGCCAGTGCGCAGCCGAGCTGATGGAGGTTTACCATGATGATTGGTAGTACTCTAAAGAAATGTTTGCAGGTCTATTCGCGACTCCAGCAAAACGGACGCCGCCAAGCGGGAAATCCGGGAACCAGTCGGTCCAGGTCGCTCCGCGCCCCGCCGCGTCTCTGATGGCTTTCGCGGACGCGTGCTGTCGGCGCGGGGGCGAGCAATGTAATTTGACGAAGGTCCGAAAATTTCTTAAGTTTGCCGGAGTGTTCATTAGTGTGGTGAAGCCTCAGTAGATTGTTTTTTTCCATCAAGTGTTTGAAAGCCCGTTTACTATACACAACACACGGTCGCGTGCTTTCAATTTTTTGGATGAGGAGGAATCACGGAAAAACGTTTTGATTTCTCGTCTGTTTCTAATCACATTCAAAGTCACGACTGCTTGGTAACTGATAAGTGGTTTCTTTATAAGGATTTAGAACAGTGGGCTGAGGTCGACAGACGAAGTGTTTCACTGGAGGGAACACTAATGCTGCAGTCAAGTCAATGGGAAGGTTCGATAGCTGCTTTCCTTGAGTTTGGTTGTGCTCGATTAGCTTCAAGTTAATTTGAGCCACTAACGCCGGCCGATGCGTTGGCTATTCATCTTGGCGGCTTTTCGCCGAAAAAGACCACATTGAAGGAGTTGGGCTAATTTCGCAATTACTTGATTCAGAAAACTTGCTCGCTGCATATAATTAATGAGGGAAATTATCTGCTTTCAAAAGGTGGGGGACGCGTCTCGCAAAGTTGGAAGCTGTCACGTCATTAGGATCTATCGCGCCCCTCCAATATTTATATTATAACCCCTGTCGAAGCCAGCAGCAATATACGTCTACATTGCTCAGGTTGACCGGCCACAAAAAATACTCATTTTATCCGTTCAGGATTCGAAGTCAAGCTCAATGCAGAGAGGTCTGAGTGAATCTCCGATGAAGACTCTCCTCCGTTTGTCCGCATTCGTCTCCGTTCTACCGGCTAGAACCATTTGGCTAAGTTTAAGTAGTATCTCTCTGTCTGTCAAATATACTTTTATTCAGCAGTTCAACTAATAGTTAGTTAACTAGGTTCATATTTCAACCCGAAGAATATACTAATATCGCTTTAGGGGACATAGTACGTAATATAATACATAATCCGCATATTCGTCAAAATTACTTCTCAATTGCTACTAAAACTTGAATTGAAATACGAGTATCAGCTGCTTAGTGAAGCGCCAGCGAGTTGACATGCTCCTTGGCTCAAGAAGCGCTTGATAATTTTCGTAATTTTGCTGCAGCCTGTGTTCTTGACCGAGCACACGACTGGAGCTGTTTCTTGAAACGCGGACAGGCACTAAAGCTCAATTTCGCGGACAGATAAGTCGCATGGTCGAGGCATGCGAGTTAGCTAAAAATTACTCTCGGTGGAACAATTTTGTAGCCCTCGCCGCTTTTCTTAGATGATCAAAACTAATTAGAGTCTATTACCGTTTCTCTGGAGCCCATAGTTTCGGTTTTGATCGAAGTCTCCGAAACGAAAGTTTGACATGAAAAGAAAAAAAAAAAAAAAAAAAAACACCGGCAAAACAAAACTATGCTCGGCAAGTTTATGCGCACCGGCTACACTTAACTGTCTCAGTTCAAATACCCATAAAATTGGGCATTCAACAAAAGAAAAATTGTTAAAATGAATGCGCCACCCATTCAGGTGGCCCGGCCGAGCCGACGCGACCTGGACTCAGCCGCCATGTTTGTTTGGTGGAGGCGCCCCCTATAGGTCGCTGGAGTCGCGAATAGTTGCGCATTGTTTTGGTAAGTTCATTATTTGCAAGTGTTTTGTTCGTCCTCTTGATGGTCTTTCCTGTGTACTAGAAGTCAGGGTTTCGAGGTTTGGGTCAAACATGGAGCTTTATGCCTCCCTTATCAATAATAGTTTTGTCAATTTTTTCTTTATTTTCTTGTCCTAGAAAGAAAACCTTATATTTAGTTAAGACTCTATTGAAAATATCACTGTGTAGAGGAAGCGTCAAGGATGCAAACCTAGGCTATGTGTCACAGTAATTTGTTTTTGTTAATGTGGTTCTCTGAGCTATAGTCGGTAGCAGGTTAAGAATAAAGTGGAAGCCTCTGTGTGTCGTAGTTCAAAAGCATTGCATATATTTTTTTTTTTGTTACCTCTAGCTCTTTATAGTCAGTTACAGGTTAAAAAAAGTTTTCGAAGGAAAAGAAGGATGGGGGAGAAGAAAGCAGACTAAACGATGAAGGGAGGAGGAGGTTTCCTTCTCTTTTTCCCGGCATTCCGTCTGCTTTCTCCTCCCGAAACTCCCTTTCCATCGAAAATCTTATAACTGACTATAGCTAAACCGAAAAGGATTTGTGTAGGTGGCATCACTTAGTGTTGTGGGTGATTGTTATGCGCGTGATCTTGAAAAACAGGATGTTCAGTGGTTGTGTGGCGGTTGTTGTCCTGTATATAAGAAGGTTGGTTGAATAAAATTATCAGCCGAGTTAGAGACACAGTCTGTCCCTGTTACTTTCTTTTAAACTTTTAGAAAATGTCCTCCTTCTGCCCCAGTCTCGGGTTAAAATCATCATGGTAAACCTGCTTCTTTTCGGAGATCACTTTACGTGTTGCTTTTCACTGATGTCTTGTAGTTTCTCTTACCTCCCCTATAGAGGTGTCCGCTTTACTCAGTAATGGTATACTTGGACATGTAGGTATTATGTGCTATGTTTTCTATTTGACTATATTTTCTGTCGTTGGAGCCTTGTAACGCCCGTACGGGTCCTCAAGGTTGAATAAATGATGATGAAGGATGATATCAGCCGTGGTCGATAATGTATAAAATAATATACGTATTTGCGCAGTGCTGGCAGTGTCCTGGAACACGTAATTGAAAATATTTAAACAATGTTTAACGAGTTTTGCTTATTTACCAATCTCCGCACTTTGCATGTTTGCCTGCATTCGATTGTTCTTTGTAACGAAGCGAGTTACTCTATACTAATCGAGAAACATTACAGTTTGACAGCACGGATGTGGCTGACACGAAACAACTTCGGCGTCTCTTCGACGTTACCAGGCACATCATGAAGGTACTTTGCCTAAATTTGTCTTTTTTAGTATTCAAAATGATCGCGTTATAGATATTTATGGTTAGAAATATTACTGTATTACACCGTATGCGTGATAAGTATAGTAATTATGATTTTAACCAACTTTCCATAAAGTATTTTTCTGCCCATGACAATAGACCCTTTTCAAAAGTCCACCAAGCATCAGTGGTGGTCGCCATTTCTCGGGTTACGAAATTGCAGAAGGTAAGAAAATTGGTAGAGGAAACAAATCATACTTTTGGTTCTTAATTTCTAGGCTAGAAGGCGCAAGCTACCGCCCATTATTAAGATTACAACCATTGGCATTCATCCATCCCTCCATTAGCACGAAACGTGTGATATAGGTCCGAGTCCTCGCCGAACGATGACACATCACTCGTTTTCAATACGACTCAAGCCGAGTTAACGCCGAACTCTGACGCCACCCTCGTGCCCAATACATGCTCAGAGTATCGTGCCCGAGCAATGGCGAACAATAACCCTTTGTAAAAGTGCGCGCGCCACCAGCTACTAGGTGGCGCGCGCACTTCTGCAAAGTGTTTTTGCGGAGCGAAAGTTCGTCTGCTTCTTTTGCAGAAATGGCTCTGATTGGAAGGATAGGGGGTAGCTCTCAAGGCAGCTTGCTTTAAAGCCTACCCACTATCCTTCGATCAGAGCCAATCAGAGCTCCTCGGCGTCCTAACGCCACCACAAGCCCCGCAAAAGAAGCAGACGAACTTGCGCTCCGCCTTACGATGGGGGAGGAATTTTCTGAAAATGAATGTTCACATTCGCTTATATACAGGCGTTCCTCTTTTAACAGTGTGAGCCTGAGGTTGTAGACACCTCTAACCACCGACAGCTTAAGGAACGCAGGGCGTGGCTCATTATGTTAATTTATGATACTTGCTTCGTGATCGGTTCTTTGAAGCTCTTATCGCCCAATGCCGTAATCTCGTTGGCTGTGAGTGATATTGAGATGCCCGGGACTGCCCCTACATTTTTTAAGCTGTCGCTCACTATATTATGAAGGTAGAATGAAATGCGTTACAACATAGCAAAATGCAAAAAAAAAAGTTTAAAAAAGTTGAGGCTATGGGGTAGATTAGTGAGACATTGTGTTGTCTGGAGTTGTGTTGCGCTGTGTATGCATCGTGTTTTTTTTATTTGTTTTTTTAGGTTTGAGATTTTACCGTCCATAGCTGTAGGTCTCGTGACAAAATCGGGATAGTTCACTTGTGAATTACGATTTTTTTAAAGCTAAAAGTTCTCAAAAAAGAAGGGGGGGGGGGGGGTTATCTTGTAACCTCCCTCCTCCTTCCCTTTTTTAACCTTTTTTTTTATTACTAACGCGTGTGTTTGCGTTGCGTTTATCTGCAGATACTACCGGATTCCCAAATTCAATTGATTTGTTTGTCCCGAATTGTTATGCTTGGCTTCTTTTTTTAAAATCACATTGTTTAGACTTTATATTCATCAAATCTACCCAGATCAAATCCATCCAGGCAGAGGTGGCGCTAGAAGAGCTCGAAACTACGGAGCAGTTCAAACAAGAGAACAAGGAGCTTCTTCGTCAAATTGCCGAATTGCAAGAACGAACACGCAGAAGTGAGGTTAGTGCAAACGGCCCGGGTTTCAGGGTTCTTCTTTTCTCGCCGCATAAACAAACTACATGCACCGGCAGCAAACACCACTGTACGTAAGCGTCCTAGCGTGAATATTCTATGATAACGCAAATACACAAGTCAAAACTGAAAGCGAAACTTAAGACATTTACTCTTTGAATGCGGCATCTGCTACCACCGACGTACCTCGGCAAACCTCACCCATGAGGGCCCTCACTCACCCTCGTGTTCACAGGTGAGGGAGAGTAAGATTCTGATCCCCGAAAATTCATGAGTGTAAGGGTGAGTGAGTAGCGTGAGGTCGTGAGGGCCCTGAGGGGTGTGAGAACTGTGAGGGCTGTGAGGACCGTGAGTGCGTGAGGGGTATGAGTGAGTGAGGGCCATGAGCGCGTGAAGGGCGTGAGGGCCGTGAGGTTCAGTGAGGATGAGTGAAGGGCTGAACGTGAGTGTGATGTGAGGGTGAGGGTGAGTGAGGGGTTGAGGTGAGTGTGGCTGTAAGGGTGAGTGAGGGGTTGAGGGCGAGTGTAGCTGGGAGGGTGAGGGTGAGTGAGGGGTTGAGGTGAGTGTGGCTGTGAGAGTGAGGGTGAGTGAGGGCGACCTAAAATGCAGACCTCTGACCACCGATAGATATCAATGACTGAAAACAGACGTTAATGCGCAGCTCTTAAATTAACCAACATGTTCTTTCAAGAACGAATTTAAACGAATTAAGGCAAAGTTAAGGCAGGCCACAACTTTCGATAGCTCCATAAACTTCCGAAAATATTTGTCATTACAAACATTTTGTGTTAATTATGATGGAGACAGCATAGCCTTGAATTAAAGCGAGCAATACAAGGTTGCGACATAGGCGCCCGCGCGATTTTTCCGTCTCTTGTCAGAGCCCCAGCCTTGTAGCTGCTCCACGAATGGTAACTTTAGCGCACTTCAACACTGCCCGTGTGCACAAAATCGTTCTGAAAATTACTGATTTAGTGGTTTTCGATGACGCTCAGCAAGTTTCTAATTGGAATCATATGTCTAGTCTCACTAATTAAAAATAATTAGTCATTTCTAAATAATTAGCGAACTACTTAGTAAGTATTGCACATTTTCTCACGTGCGACACCCCGAGTAATGCGTTCCCGAGAAAATTATATTTTTTACCTAGAATACACGAATTTTAGTAACCTTTGTCAGTCTGCGCTGATATATATATATATATATATATATATATATACAGTTCAGACCGCGAACGTGCTACTTTCATTAATCCTGTTGTTTTCACTGGTTTCACCGGTACCGATATAGTGGTCAACATACACTCAAGATGCGAATAATGTTTTGTAACGAGCAAATGTAATGCCGTAACTTTTAAAGATGCTAACCTCAAAAAGTGAAACGAGAAGCCTTTTATCTACCAAGATGCATTGAGGTGCAATCGTAATTAACGTTCTGACAAAGAAACAAAAACAGCTTTATTATCCAAGATGTTCGTTTCCTTGACAAGCTTCGCTGCGGCGGCGCCTTGAGGCCACCCGCTATCCTTCAATCAAAGCCAATCAGAGCCCGGCGTTCTGACGTCACCACAACCCCCGCAAAAGAAGCAGACGAAAGCGGCGGAGAACGCGAAAGGTCGACAATTAAATATCATGTTGAACCTATGCTCCATAACGCTTTGTATACCATCCTAGCGACGCAAATCACCGGAAGATGCATCTCAAGACTTGGGCCATCTCGAAGCAAAGCTGAAGACGCTAAGAACAGAGCTCGAACACAAGGAGGTGGAACTGGAGCAAGAAAAACGAACATCCGAAAAGGTGCGTCTTGCGTATATCTCATATCTCTGACATACCAAGCAAAAAAAATGGGTTTTTGTGATTGAGTTGTTGGTCTTTGCGCAGTACGTGTCGATGCTCAGCAAAGCCGAAAAAGAAAACAAAAGCCTAAAAAACGAGGTAAGCTTTTTTGCGCGTTATCCCGCGTGCTTTTTAGGGATTACCATCTTTATTTCACATTGAAAATATTCTATGCCGGAAGAATAAAGAAAATTGACAATATCCCAGTTTTCTTGTTTCATTGGGTTTTCGCGATGTCCAGCGTTAATGAGCTCGCCTGTCTTTTGGATGTTCTTGAAGCTCTATTTCACTTTGCAGTCGTCGACAACATAAATTAATATTTTCTAAAAAAAAAAAAAATTAAGGTAAAGCGAGCAAGAGAAGGTGAAGTAAATGAGTGAGAGGGAATGGAGGAATTGAGTCCACACCCCCTTGTCCTATAGACGTTTGCAAGTGCGAACTCTGGGCGCTTGCATGCATCTTGCTGCTGGTGTGGGCAGATCGTCTGACAGTCAAGCATTGCGGAGGCTCACCCACAGCCTCAGCAATGTTCAACTATCAGACGGTCTATCCACACCAGCAGCGAGATGGCTGCGCCCACCGACGATCCGATCCGATATAATCGATCGAGCAGTGCCAAAAGCGTGTCGTCACGGTGCTCATCTCGTCTTTGTGCGTTCGCCATCGTCGACTAAATCAATCACGTACAGCGAATGCACTGCGATCCTGCGCTCCATTTTTTTTTCTGTGCGTGCTTGTTTAAATTTTTGATTGTGGCAATGAGATAACAGCTTTGTTGTCTTACTGGTGGGAGCTCGATTTCGTCCGTCATCGCGTACGATCAATGGCACGTATATACTGCACGAACGCCTTGCCCGCGTCTCTTTCACTTCGATCCTCAGGTTGAGAACCTGCAGTCTGAGCTCCAGGACAAGTTGTACCAACTCGAAAGGGTCGAGTCGGCAGTCGAAAGCTCGCGACTCGAGTCCGACTCCAAGCTGAGTGCCAAGCTCAAGGACAAGAACAAGCAGATATCCCAGCTCCTCAGCGACGTTCAGGTTGGTTCGCTTTATCTTGATCTAAAGGGGTGTCCAAACAGGACACTACAAAACGCACGACTCCGACAAATCGTGAAAATTGAAACGGGCGCGTAGCGGGCGCGTCCGCTTCAATTTTCACGATTTGTCGGAGTCGTGCGTTTTGTAGTGTCCTGTTTGGACACCCCTTAATACTACCTCGTGCACTCAAACGAATCGTTGGCCCTTTTGGTGGGACGGCGTAAATCGGTTCCCTAACGCATCGCGCTAAGAATTTGCACAGAGGTGGCCGATGACGGTGAATTTCGTGCATCAAACTTGTGAAGAACAAACTTACTTGACTGTAAGAGTAAAAAATTAACATCACGTTCCTTGCTTTTCTGAATCGCGTGGTGTTTTCAGGACGCCGAAATTGAAAACCAGCGTTTGAAGGACAAACTCGAAGAACTGAAGGCAAATCTGGCGGACGCAGTTCAGCAGATGGACGTGACCACCGACGAATTCCTCAAAGTTCAGGTGAAGTATACACTCTCTTAGGCAGAGTACTCTAATTTACGAATAGTCTGCGTCAAGGAGTTTGTAACAGTGTAAAACAGCGATTACTTGCTTCTATCATAGGTTAAGTTGTTTTCTTTAACGTGGAGCACGAATTCCGAATAGTCCATGTAATATTTGTTCAATCACTGCTTCGTTGCGTATTGTATTTTCTCAACTCCTGTTTAGAATGCTTACTCCCATTTGTATGTTTTTTCATGAGTGAATAACTATGTTCGATTGTAGAATGGATCATGCTGTAAGATATGTTTACATTCACGCGTCTATATCCGCGTAACCTAAAATATCTGACGGGTACTAAACAGATGGAAGCTAATCATACAAAAGATAATGGGAAGAAAGGGAAAAGGTAAAAATTATAAAGATATAAAAAATAAATAAGCTCTGAAGTGAGAAATAGGTTTGCTTGAAACTACTACAATATCGTCTGCTAGGTGTCTCAATTGTTTGTTGATTTGCGTTGTCCACAGAAAGAACTGCAGGCTGCGCTAAAGAAGAACGAAAGCCTTCAACTGGAGAACTCTCAAATCATCGAGGAGGTAAGCGAATTTCGTTAAAAAACGTATCTTTGTCTCATTCTTTTTTCTGGCACTTCTTTTTTTTTTTTTTTGACGTACTTTATTCAAACAGATACGCGTCCTCAAAGATGAGCTCGAGAGAAAGGCGGAAGAGTTACAGAGGCTATCCGAATCTTCTGGTCAAGAAACAAGCGCACTTAACGTAAGTATTGTTACCCCTTAACCAACTCAGGAAGTTGGTTAAGGGGGGGGGGGGGGGGGAAGAAGCGTTTGTTTCACCAAGCCATTTTCAACAATTTCCCGCAGGACATCATCACCGGGAAGAACGAAGAGATCGCGAGGTACAGGGAGGAATTGCACCACCACAAGGAAAGACTGGCGGAACTCAGCCTTAACACGGAACAGTCGACAGTCAACGTACTGAGAAAGGTGAGCTGCGAGAGCACGTGGTTTCGCACAACGCGTGGCTCGCATGCGTTCTTGCGCAAAGAATATACTTTCCAAAACTCGGCGAAGGCTAAAAGTCTGAGCTCGTCGCCTTGCCAGTTGCTTCCGGCCTCCTGCCGCGTGACAGCTACAGTTGCACGCACTAACAGCTGAAGCTGAAAATGTCCTCGAACACGAACAAACAATAAAAGTTATAACATAGACACCTTAAGAATTATGCCTTAAGTTTTCATTCCATCTTTTTTAATAGGAGCGCCGTACTAGTCATTTAAAATTTCGACGTTGGCCCGCCCGTTGCGGCGCGTCAATGGTACGAAAGCACGAGAGCGGAGAGGAAAAGAAACTAGGAAAGTAACGTCATCAGCAGGGCCAGATGACCCTTGCTCACCACTAACCTGGCTCGGGGATACCGTTGATGAGGTCACGACGCTCTGGACAGATAACAGGCGGCAGAGAGGACCGCCGCATGCCCGGCGGCAATCGCTGCAAGTATTTTTTTAAATAAATGCGGTTTACATCTGCTTCAAGATAAGTGCCATAGCTGAATTGACGGGACAAAAAGCTATGCGGAACAAAAGTTCGTTTGCTTCTTGCGCAGAATTTGCGATGATGTCGGAGTACCAAACTCTTATTGGCTGATTGAAAAAAAAAAATACTGGGTAGTCCTTAAGGCAATTAGCATCGAGGTCTACCCAGTATCCTTTCAACCAAAGCCAATCGGAGCACGGCGTCGTTCTGACGTCACCACAACTCCTGCACAAGAAGCAGACGACTTGCTCTTGAAAGGTGCTTCAGCTTCCTTTTAATAGTGTCATTGACCACGATGAATGCAGCTGAAGTGCATTCCTGAACAAGAAACTCGTGCTTGTGGTGCTGTGGTGCATCTGATGAAGCGGTGTATAACGTTATGGGTTAGTTTTTCAACTACTTATAGACGAGTATAAAAAAAAAACATTAATAAAAGAGAGAAAAAAAGAAGGGAAAGATAACCTTATGACACATCGTGTAGAAAGTTTGAAGATACGTCTATTATTAAATAATATAATATAATGAGAAAATATATATGGGTAAAAACGGTCCTGTATTTTCTTAATGGTCTCCCAAGCCTAATACATTTGGTGAACTTTAACTGTTTTAATATCCCGTTGCATTGTTGTATTGTCGGCGAGTTGTCTATTAAATTATAAATCGAGTTATTCGATTTCTTTTTATTATATATATATATTTTTACACCGGCGAAATATTCAGGTTTGAACTGGAGACATAGGCGCATGTTTAATAGCTGCTGGCAATGGTAATTGGGTTCATGTCTGCGCCGAGTTGACCTATACTATATAAATAAAATCCAGTGCGTTCGTGACTCCAAACAGTTACCCGAAGATGCGTGTCGCTGGAATGTTCCACCTGAATTCCGGTCTCCGCCTCGCAACGTTTTATCGATTAAGTTTATTCCGAGAGCTAGGGAAATGGCTACGTTCGCGTTCGAGTGCTTTCGACCTAACACAGACAGAAAAAAAAAAAAAGCAATGAATCAATACGCGGCGTGTTTATTTAAACTTCCGAGCGACCCGAATAGCGGCGATCTTCTATTTCCCCCATGCCCTGCAAACAACGATCCTGGTCGTGTTGGGGTCATTCCACCTTGGCCGGTTTGCTGGTGAACGCGGGAATCTCTCCCGGCAGTTAATATAGTCGCAGTACGTATTTTGAGGTCGCGTGACCGGCTTTGTGGGGACAGGAAACTCACTGCTAATGCGTCATAAAAAAAAAGGTTCGAGGAACACCTAAGAACTTCTTATGAGTTGTGAATGCAAAAGCATGCACGTCATTCTTCCGCTCCCTTATTTTGTCTGCGGCGTATTTGCGTCGACGGCAGAGCGCACGCTCTGCCGTCGACGCATCACCTGGAATCACTGCTTAAGAGAGGCAGGGTGTTGACTATCATGATCACCACTCCCCAGCTTTCCGATTGGTTCTCGGCACTCTTATCGGTTGATGCCGCAATATCAATGGCTGCGAAGCGATAATAAGATGCTCTGGAGACACGCTCGCCAGATCGTCAGCGTTTCTGGGGGTCGAATTGCGGACTATACTATACTCTCTGTGCTCCAGACTGTGGACTTTACTCTCTACTCTGCTGCAACGCTATCACTGAAGAAAAAAAAAGGCTAGAGGTATACAGTTAAGGACCTGGTATGAGTTGTGAATGCGAAAGCATGAATGTTGTTCTTGCGCGCGCACTCGTGAAGTGTCCGCGCCCCGCCGACATCGGCCGTGCTGCCGCTCTGAGAGTTTGCCCGAGCGGGCATTGGGAGGCTCCGCCGCCAGCCGATTCCTATTACCGGCGCGCTGGCGGCGCTGAAGTCCCTAGATAAGAGCTTCCTACAAGTAGCGACATGCTTTGAGGCGCCGACTGCGTGACGGTGCAGGTTTTCGGAAGCGAATGGCGGCGCGCAGCTGAGCAATGAACCGAATGCCGCCATTTTGTTCCATCGGAATGTGTTCTGTCATTTCTATTGGAGGGAATACGCTCTGTCATTTGTATTGGTTGCCGTTACTTGTAAAAGAAATATCAAGCGACCTTAGGCGGCGCGAGCCCGCAGCGCCATGGGGTGGCGCTCCTGGAAACTGACGCGCGGCGGCCAATGGGAGCCTCGTTCCTTGAAACTATGACGCGCGCCAGCTAATGGGAGCCTCTCCATCAGATTTCGGCTTCACTTTTGAAGAGGTGAATTTAGCTGCCATTTTGCGTGGCTTCTTGCGCAGCTTCAAAACTGGGAGGCTTCAGATCGCGGCTTCAGTTCGCTCCATTGAGAGAGGGGAATTTAGCTGCCGTTTGGCGTGGCTTCAAAGCTGGGAGGCTTCAGATCGCGGTTTCACTTCGCTTCATTAGGAGGGGGGACTTCAGCTGCCGTTTGGCGCGGCTTCGAAGCTGGGAGACTTCACATCGCGGTTTCACTTCGCTTCATTGGGAGAGGGGAATTTAGCTGCCTTTTGACGTGGCTTCAAAGCTGGGAGGCTTCAGATGGCGGTTTTACTTCGCTTCAGTGGGAGAGGGGAATTTAGCTGCCGTTTGGCGCGGCTTCAAAGCTGGGATGCTTCAGATCGCGGTTTCACTTCGCTTCTTTGGGAAAGGGGAATTTAGCTGCTATTTTGCGTGGCTTTTGGCGGGGCTTCAAAGCTGATGACGTCGGCTCGCTCCATGGGACAGTTAATGCTTTCGCATTAAAATAAGCGAAATGTCTGCTTTTCCACGAGGCACTTGGATGAGCCAATTTATGCAATCTACAGAGGGAGCTCAGCAAATGTGGAAGCTGAAAATGTGTTTCTAGAAAAAGATGGTCTGTACTGTGGCACTCAGCATAACGCTTCACCTCCCTCACTGCCACAGCGCAGACTTTTTTTTTAGACCTGAAGATATTTTGAGCACCTCTATTCACCTAGCTCCCTCCCTGCAGCGACTGGCTCTCCTAAAAGCCTTCCAGTGGAGGCAGACGCTCCAGATTTCTTAGAGTGACACTCGACTTCTATACTCAGAACAGCTTAAGAAGCGCAGTGCGTTTTTTTTAAAGTTGTCGGCGTGATTGTATTAAAAATATTCCCGTAAGTTCGTGCTATTGAAATCCATTGTTTTTTGAACGGTTGATCAATAACAAGTGTCGATTGAAGCGCATTCTTTTTTTTTTCGCGTAAGGCCCTAGAAGACAGGGATCGGCAGATCGACCACTTGACGAAGCATCTGGAACAAGCCACCAAGGACATTGAGGACAACAGCGTCATCATCGAATCCTTGCGCCAGCAGCAAGACAGCAGCGGTGTCGCCGGCGGAGGACAGCCGAGAAGATCCAGCAAGTGGTTCGATCTTCAGCAAAAGCTGAGGGAGAAAAGCCTGGAGCTGAAGAGCGCGCAGGACATGCTCGGCAAGGTCGAGGACGAAGCGAGGCAAAAGGACAAAGAACTCGCTGACGCCGTGATGGTCATGAGAAGATACGAACTGGTGAGATTTCTTATACATACGGGAGTTGTGAGTTTCAAATCGTAGCCGGTTCGCACATGCATCTCGGCGCTGAGGTGACGCATAGTCAGTGCTGTATCAGCGCTGACTCAGCGTACGGCATTGTGTGCGCAAGCAAGGAAAGGCGGGCTCATAAAGGGGGGGGGGGGGGGGGGGGGGAGTGCTGACACTGCGCTGAGTTGACGCTGAGATGTATGTGTGAACAGGCCTGAAGACACCTCCCTTTCTGAAGGATTTTTGAGGTGATCACTCGACATCTTCTAATTACGAGACGCTCGTGCTTGCAGCATTGACCGACGATCATAAAGGTCGAACGGTAAATTAAGGGTGCTCTGCTTTCCATAGAATACTTTGGCGCACCCACCATTGCTTATAATAAACGGATTATATATAATTTAAAGAGAAAACTATTATCTTGTACTTACGTCGACGGTAAAGAGAATCTAATAGCACGCCTTGGCGTACTGATTGGTCTCTATAGCAGGATAATGAGACAAATATTGTGTAGAGTGATTTGCCTTAAACTTCAATGTTTGCATTTTATTTTTTAATTTTTATTCTAGGGAGAATACGGCCTCGCTGACGCGGTTGCCGAGATTCGAGACCTCAAAAAGCAAGTTGGCATCCGAGACAGGTATAAACAGCATGTTCATGTCTTAAACACTGAGCACAGAACCGTCAATGAAGAGATTGAAACGGGCCATGTTTCGACTGCTGCAGTCATGATACCATTTACAATGCCCCCCCAAGTGGCAACCCGCGTCAAACATTTTGTCTTCATGACTGATCATGTGGTTACATGATTATTCACGGCAAATCGATGAGCCAGTGTTGGGTAATGTGCGTCCAAAAAGTACTTGCAGTAAAGTACAAAGTAAATGAGAGGTTATGTACTTCAGGTAAAGTAGTTGGCACACCGGGCGCAATATATTTGAAGTAAAGTACTAGGAATACAATGTACTTTCAATGTAAAGTGCAAGTACTTTTTTAACACAATCTTTCATGATTGTGTTAAAAATCACTGATGGACCCCATACAGTGATTTCACATTTCCCCATACAGTCTTTTATCTTTAACTGTGCATTGCCCCAGGGGTTATCGGGGTTGCACAGTGGTTTTTAAAAATGGCGGCGAATATTAGATAAAGTCAAGTGGCCACAGATTAGTTATTTTACTCCCGCTGGTGGCTGGCGAACTATTTTTTGTATCGATCTTATAGCCACCATTACTTCACTGGTCTCTAGGGAAATGACTGGATGACGTCTCAAAAGACGTTGCGCGTTTTCCCGTAATAATAAATCTTTCTTTCTTTTTTTTTTCGTAAAGATTGCAGATTGCACTTTACTTTATTGAAAAAACGAAAAAGAACAGGAGCGCGTTGTTTTTGAAAGAGCTTGAATTTCAACGAGACCAAAATTGAGGAACCTTTCAAGTCGGGAGTCGGGAGTTGTACTTTCTTTGAAAAGTACCAGAAAAAAATAATTTAAGTACAAGTACATACTCAGAGAATGTACTTCGAGTAAAGTACAAGCTTTCTAAACCTACTTGAACAAGTACTTGAACAAGTACAATGTATACTTAAAGTACTTCGCAACACTTCGATGGGCGCAGTTTTGTTTCCAGCCAGGGGGAAATCGAGTGCCCTGCTCTCAGTACTCTGTGTGACTCCGTTGGGTGGTTCAAAGTGGAGTCATTCAAATTTTATTTCACTAAGTTTAAAGCACTCAAAACTTTGTCTAGAGTTTGTGTTGGGCGCCGTAGCCGTGCATGTCGCTGTTTCTGTTTATTTCAGGGAAATAGAGAAGCTGACCCAGCAGCTAAACGAACTCGAGATGGACGTGGAAGAAGTCAGCGAAGAGAACGAAACTCTTCGGGAAAAGCTAAGCCTAGATCCGGATGTTCGACTGACGCCGCCCAAGAAGAGAAAGCCAGAGAAGGCAGCCACACTTCAGGAAAAGGTACACGCAAGAGGAACTAGCGCGCAGAAGACATAATACGGTAGTCTGGAAAAAATCAAGTTACTCAAAGGTTAAAGTAGGGATAAAAAAGGAAAGTAAATGGAAGCATGTATTATGAGTGTTGACTATCAGGACAAAAGACAACGGGAAGGCAAGCAAAATACACTCATTAATGGCGTGGATCCCTGCCATATCTGTTGATTGAAGTGGGAAAACAATTGTTCATTTATTTGCCTGGTGAATTTTCGATTGTGGGGTGCTTAAATTAAGGTATATTAGCGAACATGTGCTGGTGGGCAGTATACATGTGCACGTAATCAGACTTATTTTACTTAAGTTGTTATTATGTTTGCTAATGAGCATTCACCAATCGCACAGTTGAACTTGAACACAAAACGTAAGATGCATGCACTAACGGTTTGGGATGAATATAATAGCAATCAGTGACTTGCTCTTTTCATGATGCTCATCCGGTATACCATGCACAGAAGAAGAATGATGATAATTATGAAACTCTAAACCGTTTACTGTATCTCACTTGTTATGTATACGAAGACCGTAACAACCTTACACGAACATTTACCACCTTTTTGAGACAACATATAAAAGTAAGATCTGAAAAAATGCAGGGTTGTCACTTAAATGCTATAAATTATTTTTGTGCCTCAATCGAGATGATAGGATGGGAAGTATACTTTCTGGGTTCTGCGTGAACTTATTTCCAACGTTAAGCGGTTTATCAACTAGGACTTCTAGAGTTGTGTGGAGGTGCGTCTTCCTCTTTGGCAACGTTGAAAGGCATATGGAGTAGAAGCAGTAACAAATCGTCGCACAATGCTCAAATACACACATAAAGAGCATATCCCTTCTTGTGACCCACTCGCAGATTGAACAGCTCGAAGAGGCAAACATAGAGTTGCAACAAAAGCTTCGTCAGGCTTTCAAGGAAAAAAGAAAAAGGTAAAGAAATCTCTAAAAAAAAATGCCTGCGACTTAATTGCAATCACATTGTGCTATGACGTGTGCATTCCTGACCCACTTCTACAGTCCTTCACCGGAAAGCATCAAAATCAAAAGTCTTGTCAATAGGAGCACGCAGGTGTCTCCGACTCTTCACGACCGCAAACAGGTAAGACAGCTTGAAACTTTCAAAATTTCATTAAAGTAAAATAATCAGATATATCACATACACTTCATCACATGATCAGCTTTATAGCTTCCGTAGTCACTGACTGCTTTGAAGGAAGCGCAAAGCGTGGTGCGTCCCCATGGTCTTATTATCGCTCCTGTGCCAATAAGATGGCTGCATCGGCCAACAAGAACGCCGAATCGAAAATAGCAAAGCTATAGAAGCGTGACCAAGAAACGTAAGCTCACAGCCTCCTCTATACTCACAAAGCCTGGCGGTTCGACGGCGGAGCCATAGAGTGCCCGATCGCAGATTTGGAGCGCGAGGATATGGTAGCACAGAGCATCAAAGAGCCATTTCTCGGGGAACCTGGACGTCAGCGCACAGCTTTTGCCGCGGCGAGAACCCTAAACACACTTCTCGGGAGAAGTGTGTTTCGGCGTCTCGTCGCAGTGGGGCGCCAGACACGTGGCTTTCCTAAAGCCCCTGTATACGGAAAAGTAGCGACATCCTTTGAAGAATGCCGCCTGCTATCTTGGAGCGATCCAGGCGGCGCTACAGTCGACGCGCGAGCGCGAAAGAGCAAAAGATAACAATAAAAGTGTGCATGAGGGACGAGAAGGGAGAAAGAATGCCTATTCTGTCGGAGTGCGGTGCACGCTATGAGCTCATGCCGCCGATCAAATAACGCCGACTGTGCAACGCCATGGCTTTCATTGCCTTTCTTTGAGCACATTCTTCGAGGCTGGCAGACCGTGACAGTGCGCTTTCAGCCTGTGTCCATGTATTTCCGTGTCTAAGCCTTTGACTCGGCTCTGACTCGAGTATAGGAAGGCCGTCTGCTATCTTGGAGCGTTCCAGGCGGCGCTACATTCGACGCACGGGTGCGAAAAAGCAAAACATAAAGATAAAAGGTGTGCGCGTCAAAGGAGGAGGGAGAATATGTTTCTACCTTTCTTATTCAGGGGCATTAGGCTTTCCTCTCATTCGTTGTCTACCATTTCGGCGGCCGCTTCTCGTGGCGATCTGCCAGGCTTTGTCAGTATATAAGAGGCTATGGTAAGCCCCACCCTGCGTCTCTCAAGCTGTCCGATAACTATGTCAATAAATTGTAAAAGTGAGGGCGGGGCGTTACCCATATCACGCTAAGAAATCTGGGTCGTCTACTTTCCCGGAAATAACTTGGAAGGGCCAATACCTGCTAACTCGGCAAAGGACGAGGCTAAGAAATGTGCTCGGTGCCTCAACGCAGTTTTTTTTTTTTTGTCTATTATTTGTTTAATCCTTTGCCGAGCTCCTGCCGTAAATTCTAAAGGCTTTGCAGGAAAGTAGACACTCCACATTTCTTAGAGTGTGATTGGGTTAGGGACGAATTGAAGACTCATATTTTAATCCGAATTACGTCGCTTATATACGTTAGGAATTAATGGAGCGATATTCTCCGGAACGAGATAACGCGTCTTCCGAGGAGGAAAAAACGAAGGAAGAGACGCTGGAGGACTTGAAGTTTGAAAACCAGCAGCTTCAAAGAGGCATGGAAGAAATTCTTCGAATCATTCGGCAGCAAAACGGTATGTTCTCTTTTTCTTTTTCTTTAGATGCAAGAAATTTGTTAGTTTTTTTATGATCAGTTAGCGTGTGCGTTCCGTCTCCAGAAAACCCCGATGCCGCTATCGAATGCCCGCATCTGGAGAAAATTGTGGAGGCGAGTAATTAGTTTAAAAAGTAGAAGCATGACATTATCAAAAACCGAAATGTGAACTTCTCTTCGTTAACATTTTCAGTTGCTCCAGTCTAGGGAAGAAAGTGGTTCTGTCTCGGCCAGCTCTAATACGTCGTTTACAATGTCCCAACTGCAAGCCGAAAAGAAGATGCTCAAGGCTGAACTGAAAGCCGTCAAGCGGAAATATTCTAAACAACTCGAACATTCGGAACTCAAGGTAAGAAAGCAAACTGCATCCATGGGTAGTGTCAGTATTCTGACCATACTAATATTACCCCTTTTGTAGTAAATTCCGTTAATGGCCAACACAAAGAGACCCAAACTGTTTGCAACGCAAATCTTTCAGGTGAAACAGCTCCAGAAGAAAGTATCGGAGAGAAGGAAACGTTCAAAGGCAACCATATCAAGGTCGACGTCTCCTCCTTCAGAAAAACGTCCGAGGACTGTTGATGTAGGAACCCACACAGACAAGTTTCAGGTAAGAAGATGGGTCCTCAGCCGTTGATTTAGGGTACAAAAATGCATAATATGTCATCTGCATCAGAAATCTTAGCGCAACCCATGCTTTACCAATATGTAGCCGCTCTATGGTCGATATTCACCCGAGATATTGGAAGTGCATGTATTGGGGCAGATGTGCATCAGTGACGTGGCTGATGTCTAGTTGATAGGTAGCCAAACTGATAGGTTAGCCACTGTTCAATGTATATTTAACGCGGTCTGAAAGGCAACTTCCATTGGAACCGCAGAGTGACAGCCGCAGAGTGTAGCCGTGTCTCCTAAAGGTGCACTAAAGAGGTTTCTGACGTCGTGTGTTCTTGGCGATAGCTCATTCTACGGAATCTTAGCATCCCAGAAATAAAAAAAAAAATATATTGTTGCGACGTCTATTTTCCTACTAAAATTGTTATCGAAGTTTGTGCCAAGCCCCTTACTGAGGGGAAAAATCTGGACCACAGAATTCAGCGGAGGCGCCGGCGGCGTGACGACGCGGGCGCGCGTCAGCCAGTCGCGAACGGAGGCTCCGGCAGCGGAGACGCCACCCGCGCCTCCGCTCCATTTTGTGTTCTAGATTTTTCCGCTCAAAAAAGGACGTGGCACAAACTTCGATCACATTTTTAGTAAGGAAATAGACGTCACACAAGCATAATTTTTGGATTTCTAGGATGCTTGGAGCCAGTAAGATAAGTTATCAACAAGAGCAGACGACCTCAGAAATGTCTTTAGTGCACCTTTAAGTCTGAATTCTCTCAAGTCTCTGAACTCTGGTAAGTTCTTGAACTCTCTTTAATCCTTGAAGTCTCGTAAGTTCGTAAGATTTCTTATTCGCCTGCAGTTGCTTTAGTCTTTGAAGTTCCTAAATTTCCTGAAGGCTTTTAAGTCCTTGAAATCTCGCAAGTTCTTGAAACCTCTTACATGCGTGCAGTTGCTTTAGTCCTTGAAGGTTCTAAATATCCTGGAGGCTTTTAATTCCTTAAGTTATCGTAAGTCATCCAAGTTTTTTAAGTTCTTCGAGTCTCTTGAGTCCCTGCAATCTCGTTAAATTTTTCAAGTAGTCTGAGCGCCGTAAGTCCTCGGAGTCTCTGAAGTGTCGTAAGTCTTCGATGTCTCTTAAAGAAATACTCCGGCGATTTGTTTTTTTTGAGCTGCCTCAACCAACTATATTTTCCGAATTGCCGGCCTTTACCCTTTCCGGTACGCTATTTAACATCGCCAAATTCAAGATAGTTATTGTGAAATCGGTAAATGAAAATGATGTCATATCCAACATCCAAATATTCCCGCGTTTTTCAGTGCCGTGACGTCAAGAAAGGCAGGCTTGCAGGTCGAGCGGGCCGCCTAAAAATGGACCACGCCGATCATTTGTTGCGTGCGGCTGCGCGAGTGCTGGAGCGAGCTTTTAGATTGATTTATTTAACACTATGAAACTGCTTGTAATCTGTTAGGAACAAAGTCTACAGAGTACAGTTCAAGGAGTAATTTCTGCCTTCCGCTAACGTCACAGTCCTTGAAGTTTTTTAAGTCTCTGAAGTCTCCTAAGTCTTTGCAATCACTTCAGTCTGAAGCCTCTGATGAAGATATGTCTCTTAGCGAAACGTTGGTTACCACTTGAGACTTCCGCGAGGTTCGCCTTCAGATCTTCCAGTTATTTACGAACATATTCATTTTTTGTTTTGATTCTCTGTACACAAGGAAATATGGGGTAGGAACCATAACAGTATGGCAAATGTATTCATTTCAACGTTCTCCCGTTAGGCTCATGGCAATGCACCACGGCAGCCCTCTCCCTTGGAGGTTGACGATATCAGTCTTCTGAGCCAGTGTACTTCCCTGGCTCATCTGTATCGAGACCTAATGAACGAGAGAAGCGATTGGAAAACACGGGTTGAGAAGCTGAGCGCCGAGAAGATTGAAATAATCGAAGAGGTCGCGGGCAGAGCTGCCAGCAACGAACAACGCTACAATGTAAGTGATGTGCTCCTCGTGAAACAACTTATTCTGACGTAATAGCTCGTCTTTCGGCAATGGTAACCATCTGAATGCTGAACACATGCCCTTATAAAATTCCCTTGTCTCTCCTTTCTCGGAGAGTCAATAGGGGGTTTTAGTAGACCATTGGGTACCTTCGATAACGATACGATGCACGCGCGAAGGTATCGGCGAAATATCGCGTATCGTTATCGGAGGTATCGAATCGACTGATTAGAACTCCTTATTAATTGCGATCAGCAGATGACGAGACAAGAACGTCTTCCCCGGATAATTAAGTATGCAAAACGTCTTCCCTTGAAAATAAAGTCTCCGACAGCTATCGTCGACGGACCCTGAGCTGAGGCTTGCTTCTTCTGGATACAGCAGCGAAACAAATCATGGACAGAAAAGTGGCTTTATGCCGTCGTTGTAGCCGTTTTCAGTATCGGATAAATTATTCACACAGGATGGATATGCCCGATTCACCCAAAACAGGATTCCCGAAATCCAAATGAGGCTATCTGCCGCAAAGCTAATATTGAGATACCAATATCGGTTATCTGAATTTTTTTCAGTTGTTGTAGCATCGTCATGCATATATAAAACTCTCAAAGGCGTCAGAAATTGCGGTATGATCGAGTCTCGGTACATAAAAAAATTACACTGAAATTTTACTTATACAGAAACGTATTATGTTTTACGATTTTGTCAAGTATGATTTATGTACCGCAGCAAGTCCTTTCTAAGGCTGGTTCATACATCTGCGTTTGAGTATCATCGCCTGATCAAACGTTCGCAATATCAGAAATAGTCGCTTATAACGATGGCGGAAATATGCTGAGCCCATGGTGAAAGAATGATGCTTAAGAGATCATGAAAGTATCTATGTAGATCGAGAGTGTATCAGGTCTACCTGATAGATTGGGCCAGTTTGTTCTCTGGTTTTAACCAAGCACTTGCAACGCAATCAATTACACTCAAACGCAAATTTATGAACCAGAGAGTAGTGGGACAGAAGTTGTTTTCTGTTGCAGAGTTCGGAAACTTCATAGAAAATGTTTCCAAACTTTCAAGCAAAAGCGCGACACGGTTGTTGGCCTCGCGTGGTCCTTTGAGTGTTCTTTACGGTGCACACGTTCTGACCGTTCCCGGCGAATTGTTCCAGGAACTGCTGAACCAACTATCGTCGACGGACCCCGAGCTCAAGGAGGGTTTGCTTCGTCTGGATGCGGAAGCGAAACAAATCATGGACAGAGAAGTGGCGTTGCGTCGTCGTTGTGCCGTGTTAGAGAACGAGCGCGCCCTCTTGCAGAGCGAGATCTCCAGACAGACGTCGCTGAGTTTTCTCAAAGATGACATAATTCTGGAACAGCTCGGACAAGTGGAAGTGAGAGAGGCAAGTTTAGCAACAATGTCGATCCCGACGGTGTTTTGAACAAAGTACATAGTTGTTCTGAAGCATTTTTTGGTACATTTTACGTTTGTCAGTACAATGAACGCTTGATAGACATCTTGGTGTTAATTTTGTTTGTAAAACTTTTCAGTTTGTCCATCTCTCAGATACTGTGACTCAATATGTATAGGAAGCTAGTAGATAGCTTGTACGTACTAATATTCCACGTAACGTAGACCATTCGGAACTAGAATCTAGTTTTTAATGTGTGGTTTTTGAGGAAATGTTTGTGGGTGGTGGTTAAGTTCTGGTATGATAGCGAGGAGATTGAAGTATAGAATGCGCATTGTCCAGTTCATATCTTTTTTATAATATAGCTTGATGTTTATTGAACACAAAGTCTATGGACTGTATTCTTTACGTGATCTTCCGTAATCGACCGCAGATTGGACACGATTGTGCCTCACTTTCTGTGCACGAGCACCAGTCGAACGCTGACGAAGCCTTCGGCTACCTCAGCCGCCTAGGACGTCAGAAGCACAGACACAACTCTTGTGGTCGTTGTCCCCATCGGTGTAATTTTAAACTTATCCGCTAGGGGGCGCAACAGTTGAATTTCTTCCCCAATAGGTATACATTAGAGCCCAATGGTCCTAACAAGTGTCCTAGTGCAAGTCAAAGCTCTCGAGTTTCAGACCACGGTTTTATCTAAAAGAACAATTTGGAATTGCTAAGTCCTAGACACATTTCAACAAGGTAGATAAAAAAAATTCCCAAACACGATTTAAAAAATAAAAGCGGCAAAGGTTGCGTTGAACCTAAAGTGGCAGCATTTGTAACCCGAAATTGCATTTCAGGAAATGGCGTCCCTACGCATTAAGTCTCTCCAAAACTGTCTGGAGCAGACGGTGCCAAAAGAAACCTTCCAGTCACTTTATCAACAGCACGCCCTTTTGGCCCAAAAATTCAGAAATGTAGTGGAAGAATTAACGGAGTCTGGATATTCGGTGAGTTGTTTGTTTCTTCGATAATTAACGCAAGAAAACAATTTTGCACCTAGCCGAAAAAAGATTTTGGATGCCTAACTTACGTATGGGGTAAGCATTAGTAGTAGTAAATTTACCTGAATCATTGTTACTGGTGATTAGTGTAATATTAGTTGACATGAAATTGTATTAAGTTAACTAGTATGTTCTAATCCCCATTCTAAACGATCCCCAAGAGTATTTTTGGTGGGATGGAACTATAGAACTTGCAGTCGGTGTAAACCTAGTTTCTTTAAGGACAATATTTTGAATTTCTTCTTGTGACTTCTGAAGTGCTAATTGACTCCTTTTTATGAACCTAGCAAAGCTTAATTTATTCCTTGCACGAGGAAGAATTCAACGAGCATTTACCACTTTCGAACACTTCAGATGAGCATCGCACCGAATGAGCTTCATCCATCGAACGAATGGGAGAATAGACCGGGTGAGTCGCGCAGACTAAGCAGCCAAAGGAGGAGATCAGTTCTAACTCCAGAAAGATTACTCTGCAGAGCCCCGACCGAGGACCAGGATGACGGAAGACAAGCATTTATCGACGCAAAAAGAGATTGAGTTTCTTAAAGATCAAGCGGACCGTCTAAGGTCAACGAACAGGGACCTAGAAAGAAAGGTAGAGATATTGCAGAAGGAAACTACGACCTACAACAGAAGCCTTCATGACTACGAACACGGTAAGCAGGTACCACTGAAATCAAAATGCCTATATAGTCACTCACATGCTTAAGAAACCTAAAGGTGTGACAATTTCCGAGCATCTTAATGTCGCTGCGCAAGCAAAGAGATTGCTTCATCAGCTGATGAGAATACCGAACAACGAATCATAAAGTAAGAAGCATAATCTTGATAGGCATTGCACTGCATTTGTTCGGTTGTCAGTGACCATAGTACAGCCTCTCACAAGTTAAAAATAAATGATGAGGTGAAAATTCTAAACTTATCGAACTCGTAGCTGAATGTGGTGTTCAAGTGGTGCATGATTTAGAAGTTTAAAATTGATCAGATAATTTCACGAACCAGTCTTGCCTCTTTCTCGCAAGGTAGGCTTTTTAAAGGTATCTGCGGCGCGTTTGCTTGGAAGGATCCTGATGCACTTTATTTTCCATCGGATATTTGCATGTGAGGGGTTTGTTTTAATCAATTGCATCATATATGTGTGAAGATTATGGGTAAACTTCGAATGCGCTTTTTGAAGATTTAACTTAATTACGAATTGTGTAACCTTTTATGTTTCATTGAAATCTAAACACTCGTAAGTATGGCGTATTTGTGTCTAATGATAAGAAGATAAAATTTTGCTCTTTACATATTTGGGAATGTGAGGTTCAATATTATGAAGGACATCAATGACCTTGTGATTTTTGTGCCCACACTTCCGAAAGGGCAACTCAAACAAAAGCTCGTCGCGGCGCAAATGAGCGAATCTTCGGCGCTACAGGAGACCGAGAAACTCAAGACTCTCTTGGCGAAAGTCCACGCAGAGCTACAGACACTTCAAAAGCGGTGAGCATATATCTCTACAAACAAATCAAAACGTCGTTTCGTATGCGTGCACAACTTTTTACTTACTCTATGGATAAACATATGCATTCCATACCAGTTAGGTACGTTGTATTTTCTAATTTTAGTGACTTAATCTTAGCGATTCACGTGCGTAAACCTGTGGCAGATTTTAAATGAGTCCTCATGGAACCACTCCAAACAATTAGAAGCAGTGCGAAGATATCTCTGGAGTTCGATATACCTGTATGGATGCGGAAATCGCTGCTTTTGGAAGGACCCTAAACAAAGCTGCTTTCAAGAACATCCTATGTTCTGAGGCCCGGCGCTTACACGAGGAAATTCAAATACAGGTTCTTAACTTTCCGAAGCAGAAACTTTTTGGGTGAGTTCATTTTGTTGCAGAGCACAGAAACAGCCATCTCGCAGCGAACAATAGAAGGACCCTAGCCGATGACGAAGCTCAATAAAAGATTAAACAAAAAAAAAATGGCAGCCACCTTAACCTTCAAAGTGCTATAATCCATGTAGTGCTGTTTTTGGGAGTGATATTGTTTCAATCTTTTGGAAGACGATGAACAGTCATTACGGTAGTGAAGAACCTGCTTTTATCAATTTGACCTGCTTTAATCAATTGATCAATATATGTCGCGTGACGTCGAGTTTCCCCTGCTAAATGTAGCGGGGAAACTGGATCGGGGTCTACGTCGCAGGACATGAATTCTCCCGCCGCTAAAGTTAGCGAATAACTAAATTGTTCCCGCCCGGAGCGTATAACGCTCCGTGCGGGAACTATAGGGGGCGCTTTGAAAAACGCGCGTAGCGCAGAGGAGCTGGCGTTCGACAGTAAGGCGCGTCCAGCAGCCTGCGGCGCCTTTTCGCATGCGAAGCTGTAGCGGCGGAAGCGCGCACGGACGGAACTTTTGCTTTTTGAGCCGAAAGGTTGGGGATGACGTTGCATGAGGGCTGGGACAGACCTAAGAGGGGCATCTAGTTGCTCTCGGCTTCTTATATATTGAGTTTGAGTCGTTAATAGAGGTAATTTTTCTAGTTGCGGTCGAAAAAGGGATTTGAGCAATTTTGCGAAAAGCAAGACAGCCGCCATCATAATTGCTCTCAGTAGGAAATTTTTTTCGCTCGTCACTGTAAACGTAGGACTGCTGGGACGATGATATTTGGAGGCGAGTGATATGTTCACTAAGTTTGTGCACTGTGCGCTTTGCGAAGTGCAGATTTGGACACACAGGTTCTTGAACATGACCGTAACTTGACGCAAAACTTATTGTACCAAAAATAGGTGGCTTAGGGAAACCAGGTGAAAATTATGTTTGGGCGGCGTAACTGAATGGGGACCGGTTTTGACCGTGAAAGGGCTGTCAAGAGAATACCACTCGTCGTGGGAGGTGGAGACTTTACCGGTAGGAAGGGACTAGTGGACTGTACTCCCAATTGAAGCAACTTTACGAAAGGTGGTTCGAAAGCCGAGAAAACAAAGTTGTCGGCCAACAGACGGTTTGGCCGTCAAATGCTTTTGCGGTCAGCTGTTGAGTAATAACCTGGTTGTGCGAGTTGCCGATTTTGGGCGCACAGGTAGTAACCTTGACACAACACTTATTGTACCAAAAAGAGGTGGCGCAGCGAAGCCAGGTGAAATTTTTGGGCGGCGCAACTGAATGGGAACCGGTTTTAACCGTCAAATGCTGTCAAGAGAATACCACTCTTCGTGGGAGGTGCACACTTTACTGGTAGGAAGGGACCACTGGATGGTACTTTCAGTTCGAACAACTTTGCAATAGGTGGCTCCAAAGCTGAGAAAAAAAAATGTTGTCTGCACAACTCGGGAGTCAGCGTTTCCACATCCAAAAGGAGGCTGATCAAAGAAGGAAGCACACCACATAAACTTCCATACTCAAAAGCCGATTGTCCAGTGATTCTAAGTTTCATTGTAGTTTTCCTTAGATTCATATTTGTCACTTTTTGTACCGTCCTAATCTTTCTTCATGAAGTACAGACTGCGTGCCATACTGGTCCGGAAATATCATCGACATGTGCGATGGGGACGAAACTATTTTGGAGGCCTCCAAAGAAATCGGCGCTGCATACCCGCGAGTGTGGGACGGTATTTCAGTTCGGCCCATCGGCGCTAACATTTGTAGGCGTTACTGGTACGAAAACAAACGCAGAGCGCAAAACGACAGTTTATAGAACCTGTCAGGCGTGCCGACACAGTGGCAGACATGATCGGGAGACCAAATTTCTCGCGTCGTACGGCACGGCTCCATCGTTGTCGCTGTCCCACAAAACATCGGCGAGGTGAAAAACTGTGAAGCTTTGTCCCCACGAGATACGACGCATAAATATTTGAGCACTCAGTCCATGCTGTCAAGCTAGCGCAACCGCACCGCTCCGACTTCAATGCGTATACCAATGTACGCGGTGCGGTTTCGTTTCGCTGGGGTTCTCACTGCCTAATTTCGCTGACGGTCGCGCCGGTCGCGTTGCACGGAGTCTACAGGTCACGTGAAGTTAGTTTCCCGCTAAAATTTGTGGGGAAACTGAATCGATGTTTTGTACACAAGGCTCGAACTTTCCCGCTAAATTTAGTGATGAAACTGAGTTTACGTAAAGGTAGGGTTCCGTGTTTTCGGATAAATCCGAAAAACTCCGCAATACACCCGCCGGTAAAATTCTTGTCAATTCGGATATATCCGATAAACTCTGAATTTTTATGTGCCAATGCCACTCCCCCCTCCCCTCCCCCCCCCCCCCAAAAAAAAAAAAGTAAAATACCTTTTTTTTTTTTTTTTTTTTTTACAATTTGATCAGCGCACGGTTAATGGTCCTGGGAAAATGCTACCATAATTATCTTCCAAATCTCAGACCTTTGTCAAAAGGGGTCTTACCGCTTGTCTCGTCAAGGCGTCAAGGTTGATTCAGGAAGACAGGTCATTGTACCATTCGGGTCACGACAAAAGCCACTCTTTCGGTTTCCAGTTTGGGCCATGATTTTTGTGATTTAAAGAAAGGAGAGGGCATGTTTTTGTAACAATGAAAGCTATGGAACCACAGAGATTGTATAAAAGGGGCAGTTTAAACTTCTCTATTACATTCTTAACCACTCCACCTCGAGCGGTCGCGGGCTAGATTGATGGAATAGGATGGGATGACTACGAGCTTCCTAGCGACTACCTCCGGGAGTTTATGAATTTTAAGGTATCGACGTTTATCGAAGCAACACTTATGCGCAACTTTCGTCGTGGGACAAATTAGTATTGCCAATGGCAATGGCACCAGTGCCAAGTTCAACTGAAGAAACTTTAATTGACAAAAGCGCGTTTAATTTTTTATCTGGCATACGTTTACATCTGGTTATTATTTATTTATTTGTTTTTAATAGGAAAAACTGCGAAATTAACCGCCGAATTCCGGAGAATCGGGAAACAAACAAATATAAACTCCGATAAACTCCGAATCTTCGGCAAAATATAAACTCCGAAAAACACCCTCCGAATTTGACGAAAGATAAACTCCGAAAACACGGAACCCTACGTATAGGACAGGTGCCGTCAATTTTCCCAAGGGTCACGTGACACCACTTTTCCCGCTAAATTTAGCCGAAAAGGCACAGACGGACGGACGGACAAAATTCTAGGATTGGGGAATCCCGTTAAAAAACACTTATGCTTCAGAAAAAGAAATGCAATGTTTAATTTGCTGATTGTTTCTACGGAACACTTCATTTTTCTTAAAATCGTATTCTGAGTTTTGTTATTGGCTACAGGATGTTTCTATTGTTCGCCGTGATTGGCTGTCTCTGTCTGCGGCGCTTGTTGGTGCCTTTGTGGGTTTGAACCCAATTATGCGCAGAAAAAAAGGCGCAGGATCGCGGCGAATTTATCGTGAGTGATTGGTTTAGTGTTGAGCGATTGGGTTTAGTGTTGAGTGATTGGATTTAGTGTTGAGTGATTGGTTTAGTGGTGAGCGACCGGTTTAGTGGTGATCAGTGATTGGTTTAGTGGTGAGTGATTGGTTTAGGAATGAGTGATTGGTTTAGGTGAATGATTAGTTTCTGTGAGTGATTGGTTTGGCAAACATCTCGTTATTCGAAGCCGTCGAGTGCATTCCACGGGATTCGCGGAAGGCTAAGGGGAAACCTCTCGGATTTCAGCCACGAGGATCAGGGCAGCGAGCTGCTCAAGGCTAAGCTCGAGACCCACGTCAGGGTGCAGCAGCTCTCCAAAGTTTTGAAGCAACTGAGGTTCGAGTACTGCGGCATGGTGCCGCTGGACAGGCAGGCGAAGCTGCTCGGCAAGATCGCCCAGCTCAAGTCCGAAAACATGCGCCTGCGATCGGCGAAGCCATCCGAGCCGCGAGTCACGGCTCCTCCTGGTAGACGAGAGACCGAAAGCGAACTCGACAAGGTGAGCAGTTCCCGACGCCACTGGCATAGTCGCGTTTGATTGATACGGTTGATACGGGCGGTCAGCGACAGTTCAAGTAAAGCGGGGCGTGTCGAATCCCGCGCATCTCTTTATCCCTGCGTAGCCAATGAGATTGCAGCATTATCCAATAGATGTTTGCAAGTATACGGCCTCTGGGCGCCGCCATCTTTGTACTGCTGCGGGTAGATCGTCTGATAGTCAATCATTGCTGAGGTCGTGGGTAAGCCTCAGAAATCCTTGACTATCAGACGATCTACCCACACTAGCAGGCAGCCAGATGGCGGCGCCCAGAGGACGTACTTGAAAACGTCTGTAAAAACACCGCAGAACAATTTCTTAAGTTGTCGGTGACTGTGACTGCTTTTCCCAGTGCTTCGTGCGGTTGTAAAATGCTGCAGATTATAAGCACTAAAACAGGTGGATACAGGAATTCGGCTGACTGTGTTACGACTGATGAGAAACTGTTACCATCAGGGGAAAAAATGCAGTCATCAGGATTTTGACTGCACGGCTCTGAGCCGACAATAGACCGATCTCACCAGCTAGTTTAGCTACGCCGCCGCTGGCGGCGTGCATCCTGGGAACTGTAGTCTTTCCGCAGGTGCGATAAGCCCGATACTGGTCACCGCTTGAGCAGAGCACGAGATGGCACGAGCTATCTCGTGTACTGCCGTCTACCTCCCGTGAACTAATATTATGGTGGCGTCATGCATGCACAGAACGCTAAGTGAGATCGGCCTATTGGGCAGAGTTATGCAGAATAACATTTTCTAGGAATATGTAAGTATTAACTGTGGCCTCAACTATAAAGAAGGCTTGCTAGAAACGCCCCTCCAGATTTAAGGGACAACGTATCGTAATTTTTTTTGCTTCAGGAACTGGACGGAGCAAATTTACCAGAGCGTTGGTCTTCCGAGGCGTTCCAGGAGGCCTTCTCGTTTCTGAAAACGCACGCCACTCAGCTGGAGTCCGAAAACCTCTTGCTAGAGCAGGAACTTCACAAGATGCAACTGCTGCTGCAAGAAAACGAGATGGAACTTAATTCCATCAGGAAGGAGTTGCTGTGCCTGCAGGAAAACCTTCAGGTACGTGTCACATAACGACATGGTCTTGCGATTCCTTCTCCGCGTTTACTTTATTGTGTACCATTAAAAGCTCGCACATTATTTTTCGGCGTCAGCCACGCATTTTAGTGTAAATGATTAGGCAGTGAAGAAGTCAGTGAAAATGTATGTTGCAGCCTGAAACTTCGAAGGATCAAAACAACCTCATGGAATCCTTGAAGGCTCAGGCTGAGGAGCTGCTGAGCCTAAAGCAAAACGCAAAGTTGTTACAAAAGGTGAGGGAATAGCCCTTCAAAGGAAGCGAAAACATGCACTTATCCGCTTAAGTATGGACAATGTGCAAAACTCTTATTACAACAGATGTTGACGGAGGAACGCGCGAACTTGAAGATCGCTACGACATCGATCCAGGTGAAGGACAAGATCATAGAAGAACTGAAATCTGCAGCACCGGAGATACGAAGCGACGAAAAGGCCAACGATCTTAGCAACGACAAGTTGAAGAGATCCCTTCACACTGCCATGGTGACTGTAAATTCCCTGCAGGTAACGTACAAATAATTCTTTAACTCGTTATCACCTGAGAGTCGAATAGATAGAAATAAGTTGTTCATAAAATACGGCTGAGCAAGTCACAGTGATCGCCCTCAGATAACGAGATGTACCATATTCTCAAATGGGCGTAACTTGCGTGGAAGCGCATTATGGGAGCAATATGGTAACCGCGTAAGTTCTTCATATGTAGGGTTACATCTCAATTCTGTGCGTTCTTGAAATCTATTTGAGCGTTAGAATATCGGTGTGAAAGAAAGAACAAAAAGAAAAAGAAATGAATGAATGAATGATGGCCAAGCCATTATTCACACTTGCAATGTAAATATACAAAAAAATAAGATGCATCAATACACTCACTGGGGTGACCGCAGCCGACGCTATATATATATGATTCGATGGAGCCAATCAAGTAGCATCACAAGTGCACCATCGCGGTGCTCGTTGTCTTTGCGAGTTATCTATGTCCCGGCTAGACCGATCACGCACATCAAATCACGCCTTTGTCTCGCAGGCCCTCCACGACCAGAAAGAGTGCACACTGACTCGCTACAGGGAGCTGGTCAGTAGCCTGAGGGAAGAAATGTCCAAGGATCGCGCGCGTTTTGCCAAAGAGATCTCCGGTCTCCAGACGGAACTCATGAAGGAGCACAGGCAGTCTATCCTCAGCCTCAAGGAAGCAACATCGGGACTGCACGCCAAAGGCGACCTGTCCGAAGAGTGCTCCAAGAAGGTAACGACGTGGCGTCTTCACTCGCGGTCGTTTTTAATCTGCGCGAGACTTCATTAAACGCCGGTTTCTCTTCGGACTATATACTTTTCCAGCGCTTATCACCCAGTTAAAATTGCTCAGTTACTGGGCTCTGCCAATGCCACCTAAAAGATGAAGCCTGCTGATGACGTCATCGTTAGATCTTGGAGCGGGGTGGCAAATTCGACTTGTCGCTGGCGGGAAATCTGGATGTGTGTTCCTGACTCATCCAGATTTTACGCCGGCGACGAGTCGATTTCGCCACCCGGCTCCAGGATTCATTTTTCGCCTGTGCGGATCCGCCCGTGAATCCTCAAGTGTAGACGCGCCATTAGAAGGTCGGAATCGCTGCGCAAGGGCGGAACAACTGACATCGTGCAAGGTGCAAGTCATTTCATAGCGGACGGACGTCGGAATGCGGCCAACGCTAGGAGCCGACGAGCCAATCAAACAGCGTCCAAATGCAACGTCATTGCGCTCATCACTTTTTTTTTTTCTGTGAGTGTGTTTTTGCCCCTGCTAATCCAACGAAACCTGTAAAGTGTGCCTTGACGTTGCGGTTTTAGTCCGCCATTGTGCGGTGACTCCACGGCTGCTAACAGAGGGCATTCTTTTGAGAGGGGTCGATTGGTTGTGCACGTATATACGCGACGTCTGATATTTCATAGAAGAGTTCCATTGTGCATACTTAGAAGGCGTTCCAAAACCCAGCAGATGTTAGCAGGCAGAAGGTGCTTTCTTAGGGGTGTGCGAACGGTGAAGGTTATGAATGGAGCAGCGCTCTTCCATTCGAAGCACCATTTGCACCCTCCTACGATTTGCGGAAATGTCTACAGACTATTCCACTAATCGCCTTCGTTTGATAAATTTGAGCAGCCCAATGACTGTATGTGCGCCGGCTTATCCATCCAAGTTGAGAGAGAGCGTCATGACTTTGCTATTTTATTTTGTGTGTATCTGTTTGATTGTCTTCTGGCCTTTCACAACGCTGCGAAAACGAATTACAAGTGACTTTGAAGTGCTTTACCTAAATTAGCATAATTTCTAAACTGTGAACCCTTCGCGTCTTGGACAAATGAGATCGTCTCTAAATACAAACCTGTACGATCCATTTAGTTTAAAATTGCTACGAACACGTTGCTAGTAACCAAGAGTGGAACTAAGAACAAATTTTGTGTCCGTTTCTTTGGTGCATTCTCTTTTGAGTTGATGTTTTGACTTTTTGCAGTTAATTGTTTTGTCTGTGCAATTCGTGCAGTTGCTCTAACTGTTTAGACCATTTTGTTTCACAGCAGCTAGACGAGATACGGAGGCTAAAGAACGCCGTGGCCGAAAGACACGAAGCAGCCGTCGAGGCAACGGAAAAGCTCAAACTTCGGGAACAGGAGCTCAGACGACTGCAGCAGGAAATGGCCAAACTCAGACTCCCCACTCCGCCGGCGATCACGAGGTAACCATCGCAAAATTTCATATCCGTAAACAAACTAAACGCGAGTACAGGTGTGCTCTTGGCAGAAACAAGATGAAAACGTCTTGACCGTTTCGGTCTTTTTGGGCAACACCATTCGGAATAATCAAAGCGCGTGCACTATGGAATTTTGACGTCATCACGGCGAAATCGAGCGAACATCCCGATTGGACGCGAGTGTCGCTTCAGCGTTCGGCTGGTCCTCGTGTCCAATGAACGCTTCGAAGGACGCTCGGACTCAAGCTCAGGTCCCTTTGCTAAGTTGGAGCCATCCGACCTGTGATGACGTTTTATCGAGGAAAAGGGGGGTGTTTGCAGGCCTTGACTCTTTTAGGGGGTCTTGGTTCTTCGACATAAACTATTCCCTATTTTGGAAGAGGGGGCTTGGCTTAGGACGTGTAGAAGCCACCCTCCTTCTAAACGTATACCCAAACGCTCTAGGAGAATCTTCGCTATGTCTGCCTCAGTAACTAAAAAAAAAAAAAATGTTTGACAAAAATCAAAAGTTCAGAACATTTTAAAAACTTTTCTTTTAACGGAGGCAGTTCGACGAAACTATTCGGTGCTTGAATCTCTTAAATTGGTTCACAAACAACACAAAGCTACGGCGGTGTGTGTATGTTTGTGTGTGAGACGAAAATGTGAAACGCTTAGACTTACACATTTATAGTCGCCGGCAGTTTAAGAAACGCTGGGCGTGTCGAGTCTCGGGCATCTTGTTGTCACTCCGTAGCCGATGACATTCATCATCATCATCATCCTTGTCGTCATCGTCATCGGCCTCTGTTGATAAGAATAGCAGTAAATGAATCACGATGCCAATACATGGACCATAATAAGCCACGCCTTTGCGTTTCGGGTGAAGCGAACTTTCTGCGCATGCGCAGTGCCGACAGCAGCACCACCGCAGATGCGCGATGTCAGAGAGTCGAGTTGGTGTGTGTAAGGACGGACATACACAACTCTCACTCCACTGGGGACGTGTACAGGTACACGCTAATACGCTGCGCGGTGCAGTTTCCTGCGTTTGAATCGCCAATGGCGTAGGACTGCCGTTACACATTTTCGTCGCGTGTCGGTTCCGTGAGTTTACTCACACGTCGCGACGTGAGATGTTTTTACATTAAAACATCTCACGTCGCGTCGAAGGACGCTGCGGTTTATTTTCTTCTCCCTCCCCCCCCCCCCCCCCTTTTTTTTTTTTTTTGAGGAAGACGAGGGGAGGGGTTAAAAGTGTAATTTTCATATGGACATAATTAAAAAAACACCGACTTGAAGGCTGTCAGGTATTTATTTGGTTATTTGTTTTATACTCAACTTAAGACACTACATGTTTTCTCGTCCCCTCTAATAATGAAAAATAAAAGTATGTTTGCAGCTCGATTTTTTTAAAGTTAATCCTGATATTTTGTTCATTCGTGCAGTTTTGTTCGACACCCAAGAAAATAGGTTTTAAGCTCATAATAGATATCAGTCCTGGTAGGCAGAGAAGGTTCAGAACTGCGAGGACCAAATTCAGGAATCATCCCAGTTTCCCTCGAAGCACGACAGATCTCAAGATTTGTAATTTCTTACCTCAATCATTTTGACATGAGCGCTATCGCGGTCACCCCTAGAATAGCTCCGAGCATAATTAATACGACAGTATCGGGATATTTGTTGCTGTGCTCAATGCCAGTAACCCTTTTTTGTGCCTTCCAGCAAATCGAGGAGCTCCAGTGCCAAGAGGCCGGCGCTCGCCAAAAAGACGAGTGCCGACGTCAACTTGGGTAGGCGACTGTTCGCCTCTCTGCAAGAACAGCTCGAACAGAAAGCCCAAACCATAGCCCAGAAAGATGCCGAGATCGAGCAACTCAAAGAAAGAGTGGCGTCACTCCAAACCGTAATCGACCAGACGGCCAAAAAGGGACTCAGCAGACAAGTCCAGAGGCTCAAGAGTCAGGTGGACGAAAAGGAGAAACAGCTCCAGGTATACTCTCTCTCCACATTGCAGTATCAAATATATTTTGCTTTATGTAAGGCTCTTTAAAAGTGTTAAGAGTCTGCCATGGCAGCATTATGCTCCTCCACAAGAAAGGGGAGCAAAAAGGGAGTACTGGCAGCATTATGCAACCCAAATATACAATGCTAAGTTTGCAGTCAGCGTTTCAGATGAAAGGAATGTAAAAAGAGAGTATCGGCTGTGCCTAGAATGCCTCAATATACTTTGTCAAGGCTGCATAATGCTCCTCCCGCAAGGGAGTGAAAATGATGTATTTTCAACACATACGGCCCCAGTATACTATATTAAGACTGCATCATGTTCCTCCCGATGAAAGAGTGTGAAGGGACTATCGGCAGCACCTACCGCCCCAATGTATACTGCCAGGAGAAAAACGAGACAAAAGTACTTATCTCCTGCACTTATACCCCCTTTTTTATGGGTGTGTTTCTATTCCCTCAAAAGTAACTTCTCTAGCTCTCTGGAAAAAACGTTTACGCCTCTTATTCTAGGTTGTAACTTTTTTTTATCATTC